GGCCTGCACTGAATGGGCACCCCGACCCTGCTGGCCCGGTCTGGTTTGGGCACATGGACCCACACACGTTTTAAATATCACGTGTGTGATGACCAAACAGGTCATCAACCTTTAGGAATTTGCTATTTTAATTGTTTGAAGGAAAATTACTGTAAATGCTAAAACTACAGGAAAATCCCTTCCCGCTGCGGGCACTGGGCTGCGGTCCCCTCTGCGGTGGGGAACCCAGTGGTTCCCTGAGCCCAGGGGACATTTTCTCCATGTGGCCATGTTGAGTCTACAGGCACATGGCACCCCTGCCCAGGCTCAGCCGCGAGCCCTGCAGCGTGGCCCCGCTGCCGGGACAGCTCAGCAGGGCGCTCGAGGCCAGACGCAGCCGCGGGGTTTCCTCGAGCCATGTGCAGAGCGCAGCGGGCAGCAGGACACCCCCTGCACGTGCCCCTGCGTGTGGCCCTGGCGCGTCAACGGGGCGGGCAGCTGGCATAGCACGGAGGCTGGCGGTCAGTGGTCGAGGCCGGGAGATTGGGCACCTGCCGCTTTAATTGCCTGGAGAGCCACGGCTTTGGGGGCCCCTGCGGCCAGGCCTGATGCACCTGACTTAGTCTGCTGCCTGGAGCCAGTCTGTTGGGCGCGGCTGGAGCGATGGTCCGGGCACAGCGGGAGGTGGTCCAGGCCAGGGGCCGGCAGGCCGGGGCTGGGCGGGGCGGGAGGGTGAGCCTCCCTCTCTGGTTCCCCCAGGCAGGTCTTCCCTGAGCCGGGGTCACCAGCGCCACCTGTGCCGCAGGGCCAGACCCCGGGCTCCGGCTCCCCACCCATCAGTGCAGGCCTGACAACTTCTGCGCCTTTCTCTAAAAATAGGCAGTGCCTGGGCAGAAACGCTGGGGGCACTCGGCCAGCACGGGCCAAGATTTTACAGTCTGGACGTGGTTTTGCTTGGCATCTGCCACAAAAGCTGAGTTTCTGGGAAAGCCTTGCCGGCGCTCGCACGACTTCTCTGGGCCCGAAGGTGAGCCCTGGCCTGACGTAGACTTGCCCCAGGCCCACCGGCCGGACGGGGTCAGGGCAGCCAGGTCGTGGGGAGCACAGGTGGGTGGTCCTGGGGCAGGCTGTGGGCAGGGCTCTCAGCGTTCTTGGGCGTGAAAGGCTCATTCCACGTAGCAGCCCACCATGTGGGCCGGCCGCCATGGACGGCCCGGCCAGGCCTCTAAGTCAGGTGCGTCAGGCCCGGCCGCAGGGGCCACCAAAGCTGTGACCCTGCCTTGCCGTCCAGCGCCAGGGTTGCCGCTGTCCCTGCCCGGCCTCCTCTGGACCCAGGCCTGAACAGGCGCAGGGCAAGGCCGCACAGAGGGCCTGATGGCAGGCGGCTCCACTGTCTGGCTTCTTGAGCTCAGCACCACGCCCTATCTTCCTCCTGGGCCCTCCACCGCAGCCCCCCACCGCGACCACCCAGGGCTAAACCCCAGCCCCAGCCTGTGGTCAGTGTATGCAAGCCCCAGGGGGCTGCACCCTCTTACTTTCCGAGCAGCAGGGAAGCCCCTCCCCCTGCAGACCCCGGCGTCACGTCCCCTGTGATCGGCACCAGGGGGGCCACTCGCCTCACTGCGCTGCCCGTGGGGCCAGGCCCCGTGCGTTGCTGCCTTCCGTGTGTCTTCCGCAAAGGGCCTGCTCGCGTCTTTGCCGGGGTGTTTGTGTGCTTGTTGCTGATTTGGGGGTGCTCCCTGCATTGCAGGGAAAGTCACGCACCAGCCGTGTCTCTTGGGCGCCTTTCTCCCTGCGTGTCACCCGCTTTGCATTTTAAGTGATAGCTTTTGAAGAGCAAACTTCTCCATCAAATCAATTTTTTTTTAATGCTTGTCAATCTCTGTGTCTTATCTAAGAAATCTGACCCAGCCCAAGCCCAAAGGCTCTTCCTGCGGTTGCCTCCAGGGATGTGTGTGCGGGAGCCGGGCCAGAGCGAGGGCTGCATCTTGGCTTGTTCACACCAGGCCCCATCAGCATCAAGAATTTGGGAATAGAGCTGAGTCATCCCTGGGGGGGCGCGGGAGAGGCTGGGTGGAGGGAGCACAGTGGACTCTGGGGACGGGCGGTGGCATTCAGGGGCAGGAGACCAGGCAGCAGCACCCGAGCTCACCCCGTTCTTCCTAACACGCACCACTCGTGCACCATAGCGTAAACCAACGTCATCTCAGCAATAGGAAATAATCCGAACACGTTTTCTTGGAGAGCAGACGTTCCACCAGCCCCGGTCCCCCAGCTTCTGTGCGGGGCTCCTGACCTGGACCCCTGGGCTTCAAGGCCAGGAGATGCTGGGGCCAGGCGGGCAGTGCCAGCTACAGCCGTGCCTGGGCCAGGCGGCTGCCGGGCCTTGCCAGGATCCTGTGTGTGATGCATGGTCGGACGCAACCCTCATGTTGTCTGCTTGGAATGTGTTAATTCATCCCCTTTAATTGCTGGCCAGGGCTAACCATCACCCCTGAAGACAGAGGTGCTTTCTGCATCTTAGGAGAAGGAATCACCCTCCTGGGTCCTGGGAACCAGCCCCCCTGCTTCAGGGGCCACTTCTGACCGTTGTGAACAGCTCTCAGCATGAGCTGGGGCTTGGGCTGGAACCCCGAGGGCCCCAGGGGGACCCGCATCCTGGAACTCAGTGCCAATGACCGCGGAAGGGAGCGGCTGCCCAGGGGACCGGGGAGGATGCAGGATGCGGGGTGTCTGGGGGTGTCCGGTGGAGCCCAGTGCCCATAAAAGACGAGACAGGAAGAGTAAACCACGGAAGGAGAAGGATTTCCTACTATTCAGACGCTGGCTGGCGAGGCGTGCAGAGCGCCTTCTTTTTTTACCAGAGAACACTGTCCCGTGACGCGAGGGCCTGGTGTGCGCCTGGGCGGGTTTTCTCCTGGGAAACTTGCCTCTGGATCCTTCCTCGCGAGGGAAACCGCCCCCCTCATCCAGGGGCTTCCTCAGGTTGACACTCTGGTGGGGACGGCCCCACTGGGGGTGAGCGCGGATCTTGAGGCCCCCTCGTGCACCCTCTCGCAGCCTCCCGGGAAGCCCAGGCAGAGCTTCGCACAGGGGCGCATAGCCTCGTCCCGGCCATTCCAGGGGTGCTGGCACCCTGCAGGCTTCCCTGCCCCCTGGAGCAACGTGCTTCCAAGAGCGGCTCCTCCGGCCCCTCCCCGGACTTCAGCTTCCTGCACAGACCCCGGGCGCCCCCCCAGGGCCAGGCGGAGCTTCAGGGGGCCGCGGGGGACAGCCATCCCCAGCACCCGGCGAGAAGAATGTAATGAGAAATGTGTCTGACACACAAACGTGGATGCTCCCTGGCTGACTCAGAGCGGTGCGTGCGTCAGGCTTGGGGGACCTCCCCCCCCACCCCCGAGGACCGGCTCGCAGGGGAGAGCGTGGGATGGGGCCTCCGCCTCCGGGCCTCCCGCAGCTGGCAGGGGCTGGCCGGGGCTGAGCTGCTGAGAGCAGGGAGTGTTGGGGCTGGGGCTGCATGTCAGCCCCTCCCGGACCCTGCCCCGGGCAGCTCCCTCTTCCCACAGAACCGTTGCCCCTGGGGGTGATGCCTGCTTCCTGCCATGGTCCTGGGGATAATGTCTGGCCATCCCCACTGCCAGCGACCCTCCCAGGAGGGCCAGGAATAGGGCACTTTTGTTTTCGGGTTCCCTGGGGCTTCCTCCTAGTCCGCAGGGACCGGATTCCCCAAGGCAGGAGCCTGTGCGCCTCCTCCCACGCTCTCCTGCTCGTGAGAAAGTGTTTGTGCAGCTCCTGTCTCCGAGTGTTTTCCGGGATGCTTAGGAGTACTGAGCTCTCTGCAGAGGCGAGTGCGCGGGAGGGAGGCCTGCCGGGGACTGTCTTGACCGTCTCTCGGTGCTGGAGGCAAACGAGCTGCAAAGACCCTCCCTGACCAGGACTCTGGCCCGGGTGGCGGACACATGAGCTTCACCTGCTCACTCAGCCGCTCCACCGAGCGCCCGCCCCGGTGGGGTGTCCGGGGAGGCTCGACCAGCGGAGCCCTTGCCTGGACGCCTGGGGCGGGGTGTCCGTCGGTCCTGGAGCGCCGGCCAGCTCTGCGGAAGTCGGGGCGGGTCCCAGAGGAGGGAGTCGGCCCTGGTGCTCTCCAGACCTCCCAGCCTTCCGAGGTGGGGCCGGGGCCGTGTGGGTGTCCCTCCAGAAGGAGGGTCCCGAGGCGTCTGTGGCTGCAGCCTGACCTCCCCGCCCGCGGGCACGAGGCTGTGGCCCCGCCCTCCCCACTGGCGTCTGTTCTGTGGCCGCCCGGGTCGCGGTTGGGAGGCTTTTAGCGTGCGTGTGTCCATGTGCGTGCCTATCTGTCTCTGTGTGTGTCTGCGTGTCTGTGCGTGTGTCTGCATGTCTGTGTGTGTGTCTTCGTGTCTGCCTGCGTGCGTGTGTCTGCGTGTGTTTCTGTCTGGGTGCGTGTGTCTGTCTGGGTGCGAGTGTGTCTGCGTGTCTGTCTGTCTATGTGCGTGTCTGTCTGTGTGCATGTCTGTGTCTGCATATCTGTCTGGGTGCGTGTGTCTGGGTGCGTGTGTCTGTGTGTCTGCATGTCTGTCTGTGTGTGTGTGTCCGTGTGTCTGTGCGTGTGTCTGCACGTGGAGACAGGCGTGTCTGACCCCGGCCGTGGCACCTGGCACGCCCACACTGCCCACTGCCCACGCCTTGTGCTGCGAGAATCTGCGCCTGGCTTGGGGCCCAGCTTCCCTGGCCGAAGGGGCGCCTGCAGGACACGGGCGAGCGCTTCCCCCGTCCCAGCGCTCGGGAGCTCGCAGACATCGCCGGCCCTTCCCTTGGGGTCATGTTTCTCATCTGTGTCGCTATCTTTCCTCCTCTCTGGACCAGAGAACACTTTGCAGCCCCCCGGCGGGAGGAGGGGTGTCCTCTGCAGATTCCTGCTCGCCAGGCTTGGACGGGCTCTCAGATGGGTGACTGGGCTGTCCCTTCCTTGTGCATGTGGAGACTGAACTGTGTCCCCCCCACAGGGCCAACCCGGGCCAGTGGGCCCCCAGGGGTACAGCGGCCCCCCCGGGCTGCACGGCTTCCCAGGACAGCCGGGCCACAAAGGCGACAAGGGTGAACGGGGCGCTCCCGGGATCACAGGACCCAAAGGAGACGTGGTAAGCTGTCCCGGGGCTGTCCCAGGGCTGGGTGGGGTGCGTGCCCCCGGGGCTGGGGTGGGGTCTGGGTGGGGGTGCAGGGCCTCCTTCCTAAGCTTCTTTGCCTTCTTTCCAGGGAGCAAGAGGCGTCTCTGGGTTCCCTGGAGCTGACGGAATTCCTGTAAGTTTTTATAAAATTCAACTTTTCAGACACCGCACACGGGCTCCGCGGCCTGCGGGACTGCGCGGGGCCGGGAGCGCCCTCCTGCGCGCGTCCGACCAGGCAGTGTGGCCCCAGGGCCCAGCCCGCGCACAGGCGCCCTCTGGAAACCTCCCACCTCCCGGGCTGGCTGCCCTGAGCAGCTGTGCGCGGCGTCTCGCGTGCAGACTGGGTCGGGCCGAGGGGGTGGGGACACCGCCGCCCCCGCTGTGCGCCTCAAATTCTTTGCAGCCACCACAAGAAAATGAGAAAACTGAAAGGCCTGGTTTGTCCGTGAGAAAATCTCAAAACGCAGTAAAACGTGTTTTTCTAACCTAGTTTACTTTACTGCTTGTGGCATAGAAAAATAAACAGAGGCCTGAGTCACGGCTGCTCCTCAGCACCCCCAGACTTCCCAGGCCCGCTTCCTGCACCCCCGCGGCCGCTGATCTCCCGTTCCGACGCGGGGGCCATCTGCCGCGGCCCCCGCAGGGCTCACGCTGACGCAGGCCGCCTGGACAAGGTGGCCACATTGGCCGGCGGTGAGCCTGCAGCCGCTGTCTGCTGGGACCAGGCAGACGCCTCGCCCCACACAGCTCCGCAGACGAGGGACGACACCTCCAGCCCCCAAGGTTCTTGCAGACCGCAGTCCAAGGATCGCAGGCTCAGGGCCAAACACATGGAGTCTCTCCCCACCTGCTGCCTGAGGCGGCGTCGCCTGTCTTGGCTCTCCTGCCCAGGGTCCGTTTCGTCTGCCAGAAGTTCAAACCTGAGCTGAGACGAGGGCTCGAGGGAGTGCGCCTGCCCCGCCTGAGGCAGACTCCGTCCAGATGCCCACTCAGAGCCGCTTGACATCACACCGGCGCGAGCAAGCACTCCCCGGGGCACCGGCGGAGCTGACGGTCCTGCGGGTCCCAGCACCAGGACGGCCCCAGTGGCGGGTGCTGCCCTCATCGCACCTCGGCCTCCGGGCATCCCTGAGCTGGGCCCGCAGCTGGGCCGCGTCTGCTGGACGCCCACCCCAGGCGGCGCTGAGCTCAGTGGCGCAAAGAGTTGGCATTTTTCTTTGAGACCGATTTCAAATGACCGAGGCCAATTCGAAGGGAGAGGCCAGCAGACGGACCCCTCGGGAGAGGAGCGGAGACATCAGCACACACCAGCGGGCGCCACGCGGACACCGGCGAGCGGACACCAGAGCCGCTCAGGACGCGGGCCGGGGTGGGCGGGGCTGCAGGCCAAAGTCCCCAGAGGCCTCCGCATCAAAGGCTCCCGGGCCCGAGTGCCTGCTCCAGCGCTGCCGGGCGCCCGGGGCCCAGGTGACGCGCGCCCTGCCCAGCACACGCCTGTGGCCCTAGTCAAGGCGGAGATGCCGGGTGCTGGCAGCGAGCACGGAGGCGGGCGCGTGTGCCCCATCCTCACCGTGGGGCGCAGTGGGGCCCGGGCACAGGCTGAGCGCCCCTCGGGAGCAGGAACCCAGAACCAGGCCGCCCATGCGCCCACAGCCCAGGCTGCAGACTCACTTGCCTGTCTCCCTGCAGGGACACCCCGGACAGGGCGGCCCCAGAGGGAGGCCCGGCTACGACGGCTGCAATGGCACGACGGGGGACGCAGGCCCGCAGGGGCCCTCCGGCACCGGGGGCTTCCCCGGCTCACCCGTGAGTACCGCACGGCAGCGCCACCTCGGGCCGCGGCACTGGTGGGGAAGCCCAGCGAGGCCATCGCCTGGGCCCTCTTTGGGGGGCTTCGGCTGCCGGGACCCTGTTTGGGAATGTCTTAGGGAGACGGAGTCGGCTGGGGGCTGCTCCCGTTTGCTGGACAGAGGGCAGCGTGCGGTCTTGGTCTTCATGCCTCAGTGACCCGGGAGCCCAGCCCAGCCGACGCTCCTGGGGGTGGGGGGGGGGATGCAGGAGTCCCTGGCTGGAGCAGGGTTGGGGGTGCTGAAAGTGAGATCCGGGAGCTTTCTCAGGAGATGTGGAAAACCACCCGCGTTATTCTTGCTGCACTGAATGTCAACGCACCTTTTGTTTTCCTACCCTGCATCTGGTTCTCTAGGGACCCCAAGGACCCAAAGGGCAGAAAGGCGAGCCCTACGCACTGTCCAGCGAGGAGCGCGACAGATTCAGGGTGCGTCTGCAGGGCAGGGCGCAGCGAGGGCCCCGTGCGGCTTTCCCACAGCGCCCCAGCCCCGGCCCGAGTGCGGTCGTGAAGTGGGAGCGCAGCGTGCCCAGGATGGCGGGGGTGCGCGGCCACGCCCGACCGCAGCGCCGGGTCCCTTCCAGGCATCAACTTAGTGAGCAGGCGGGCGGCCGCCCTCCCGTGCTGGGAGCCCCGTCACACCGCCGGTCCCGGGGGCGGCGTAGCATTGGCTGATTCAGGAAAATGCGCCAAATCCGAAGGTGCCCCAAACCCTCACCCCCCTCTCTTCTCCACCAGGGTGAACCCGGAGCGCCCGGGCTGGTGGGAATCCAGGTATGTTCCGTTTGTGTTAGAGACAGTTCCGAGCAGGCTCGACGAGCTCAGCGCGCAGGCGCCGTCCCCCCCTGACAGCCGGTCTTGTCTCCTGTCCGCAGGGCCCGCCTGGCCGCCCCGGGCCCGTGGGGCAGATGGGTCCCGTCGGCGCGCCCGGGAGACCGGTGAGTACCAGGCGCGGGTTCAGGCACACAGCGGTCGCCGTCAAGGGCGCCAGGGAGGGCCCTTCACACGCGGGGTGTGCTGAGACACCAGATAAACAGGCCCTGGTCACAGCGCAGCTTTTGGGGTGCAAAGTCAGGACTCTAAACTGTGATCACCAGGTCACTGCTGCCTGTGTCAAAGGCCAGCTTGGTGCTGGCCTTTTGCCCCTGCAGCCGTGTGTGAGCTCTCCTGGCCCTACCAGGTGACAGGAGGCTGTCACCCAGCAAGTGCAGCAAGGTCCACGGGGCAGTGGAGGAGACGGTGCACCTGGGCGTGGCCCCGAGGGCAGGGGGACCCCCAGCATGACTCTGGGTGACACTAGTTACTGTATAACAGTGGCTGACCACGTCCAGCCCGCTGGGGTCCCTGAGCTGAGGACCAGGCTGCAGCAATGCCGCCAGAGGAGGGACGGGGGCAGGTGTGGGCCCTGGCGCCCCGACGTGAAGCCCCTGGCTCCCGCACCGCATGCCCCCGATCTGTGTCTGGACTGTCCTCACGCAGCTCAGGGGACTGTGACCCGCAGCCACTGGGCCCCAGCAGATGTGGAAACATTCAACTCTGTGGGTGCACCTTTGGGGGCCACCAGCCAAAACTCAAGACAGTGCCCCACCCGTGGGGGTGCCCACAGCCGGGATCTGGGGTCCTGCAGGGACAGGCCAGGGCCAGCAGAGGGCAGGGAGCGCAGGGCCCACGCAGAGAGGCACTCCCGAAACAGCCCGGTAGCCAGAAAAGGCCTGAGAGCCCGCGCCCCCCACCCCGCCCGCGCTCACGCCCTGCCTCCAGGGGTGTCTGGCCCGTCCCTCCGCGCGGCCTTCCAGACGGACAGTGCCCAGCTCTCCCGGAGCTTCCTGCAGACGCCATCTGGCCCAAGGTAAAGAAAACATCTCATGGGCGTCTTTGTATTTGTACAGGGCCCCCCAGGACCCCCTGGACCAAAAGGACAGCCGGTGAGTGGGCTGCTGGGGGCGCCTTCGCGGTGGCGGGGACAGTCACACTGAGAACCACCTAGTAGGTGTCCAGGACTTGGTGCTGGGCACACCTGGACAGGGTGGCATTCAGACAGGCGGGTTTGCTGAAAGATTTGTTACTGCAAATCACTTCCAGATCCCTGCTGTTCTGTGGAAATCAAGCTGATCAGGGACACAGGTGGGGCAGTCGGGGCACCTTCCCACCCCCTGTGTTAACTTACAGGAGTGGAGCTGGGAGCTCTGGGGTTCGGGCAGGTGACGTTCTTCTCACCTGGATGTCGCCAGGTCCTGCCTGAGCCAGAGGCAGCCTCTAGGGGATAGTAGTGAGTGCAAAGCGCTGAGAGTGCCGGGCACACGCGACTGTAAATGCGGCGGGTGTGGAACGCCAAGCGCCCGTCCGGGAAACAGCCGGGCTGCTGCAGGTGGGAACGTGAGACGGCGCTAAGTGCCCTGGGATGGCAGGAGGCTCGTGAGGGAGACATCACAGCCCGGGCGGCGTGGAGAACCTTCTGGGACACTGCTCAGCCTGTGCCCAGTTGAGGGCCTGTCCCCAGCCTGCTCCAGCCCTGCCTGCGCCACGGAAGCTTCACTCCATGGCCTCCTGCGGACCTCAGCTGCCACCACTCGGCCCCTCTCCAGCTGGGGCTGCAGCTCATTAAGGCGGCTGCCCCCGCCCCCTCACCCGGGCCATCCCGCTGGGTGGGAACAGCCCGGAGCTGAGAGCAGTGGATGGAGGACAGGGAAGTGGCAGCTGAGCCTTGAGGTCACCTCGGATCCCCACTTGGCTGCGGCACAAACAGCCCAGGCCCAGCAGGTCCTTCCTGGTGCGAGGACATCGGCAAGGGCCGCAGGGCCCAGCCAGCTGCGTGCTGGGCCCGCCCGGCTTTGATTTCAGCTCCCAGCCAGTCGGGACGAGGCAAAAAAGCCTTTTTCAGTCCAGGGCCGTGTTTTCATTTCCAGGCGGGACCGGCTGGGACGGGGCGAGGGTGTGCTACGGAGGGAGGGCAGACGCGGCCCTGAGCACGCTGGGGTGGCGGGAGCAGCCCCCGCCCGCAGGCAGGCCCAGCCGGCTAATGTGACCTGCGTGGCCGCGGGCCTGGGGTCTCCCACGGCTCGAGTTTGGCATCAGGCCTGAGCCAGGCACCCGGCTGCCCCCACAAAACTGTCACAGACTCAGGAGTCACGGGGCTGGCTTCACCCCTTAGGGAAGACGGAAGGGCTGGCTGGGCCCCCAAACCTGGAGCCCTTGAAAGAGCAGGCGTCTAAAGCAATATAACAAGAGTTTTATTTGACGGTGATTATTGACTTTTCAAAACTTATAAAAATCATTTATCTTTTCAGGGCAACAGAGGACTTGGTTTTTACGGAGGAAAGGGTGAAAAGGTAACAGGCCGATAGCCCGGCCCCGCTTCTGTCCGTGTGGTGTGAAATCTGGGCTCACGCTCGTTTGCAGCTTGTTCACGTGTGGAAATAGCATTTGAAAAAGGCGGCGCTGTCTCCGGTGTCGGCGGCTCCCTGGCGGCTCCCGGGCGCGGGGCGGCACTGAAGGCGGCTGTCGGGGGTGGCAGGCCCACAGGCTTCGCGTCAGGCCCCCGAGTGCTTCTTGCCGAGGATAAAATGTGGGTGGAGCAGCCTCGCGCGCGCGTGTCTCCCAAGATGCTGCTTTGCATACACGACCCACCCTCCTGGCGAGGCGCGGGCAGCGGCGTCCTGTGGACACGGCTGTGTGGGCGCCCGTCCCGGGGAGTGGCGGCGTAACGCAGGGCACCCGCGCAGACCTGGCCCCCGAGCCCTGCGTCCTGGCACGGAGGCTCATCCCAAGGAGATGACTCCAGAAGCAGGTGTCGCCCCAACCTAACAGCCTCAGCAGCCTGGAGGCGTGAATCCCAAGCGAGTGTTGTGCAGACAGTTCCACACCAGGCCACCTGCTTTCCACAGGGGGGTTATATTCTGATGACGCGTGATGAGCAAAGGCAGAAACAAAGTGGCCATCCGGGGTGCTGTGATCTGCGCTGGGCAGTGCCTTTCCCTTTTTTAAGACCCTCCTTTTGCTAAACCCTCCTCAGGGTGATATGGGCCTGCCGGGGCCCAACGGGGTCCCCTCGGACATGGATCAAGACGCCATCAGCGGGCCCGAGAAGGAGACATTTGACCTGGAGCAGTACAAGGTGAGGCCGCAGGCGCCCCAGGTGCACGGGCGGGGGGGACTGCTGCCCGCTCAACCCATCCCGTGGACACACCTCCATCAGGGTGGCAAAGGGCAGGCACTGCTCTGCGGTCAGCGGGTGTGTCGGCCGCCCTTACTCAGCGCGGCGGCTAGACCACACGAGGGCCCGAGCCAGTCCTGACACCCCTGTCCCCGGCGCCCAGAGCAGGTGCAGGCTGCATGCACAGCAGTGTGTCGCATTTGATGAGCCCTGAGGGTTCGACTGGGCACGGATGGGAGCCCACCTGCCCTCACACAGCCCCAGCCCCCCGCCTCCAGCTCTGTGTCCACTGAGAGGGTTGCATTAACCCTGGAGAGCATCTGAGATGCCGGGAGGGGGCCGGTGCCATCCATGGGGAGCAAAATAGTACCCAATGTGGACTGTCGTCAGGTGCGCAGGGATCTGTCCACATGGGCTCGGTGCCCGGGTGGCAGGCAGCAGGCAGGGCCAGGGCCCAGGCTGGGCATCATTGCGGGCAGCCTCTGCCATCGGCTGGGGCCCTGGGCAGCAGCTGAGAGAGGAGAAGCCGCACAGCAGCCACCAGGAGCAGCTGTTGTCCAGTCTGAGTGTCCACAGGAGGCCCCGGGCAGGAGGGGACACGCTCCTGAGTCTCCGGGGCAGTCCGGCGCAACTCCAGCTGCTGGGGGTGACCTGACTGCCCAGGTTTGGGGCAGGCGGGGGCCTGGGCAGGGCTGAGATGCCCCCACTCCTGAGTCAGCTCCCCCTCTTTGCTGCTGCCACGTAGATGGGCGGGCCCCGGTGGGAGGGCCTGGAGGGTCTCGGCTCAGGCGGTGTCCTAGCCGGGGGGACAGAGGGCACACCGCCACAGCCACGCCCTCACCGGTTTAGACGCGGAAGCTGGCGCTGCTCTCTGAGGCCGCGTGCGCAGGGTTAACCCTCCAGATGCGCCGTTCCCCCCAGGCGTGTCGGCTCAGACGCTGCTCCGGGCCCCGCTGGCTCTGCCCGCCACAGGGGCGGTGCTCTCCCCGTGGCGAGGGGAGCCTGGGGAGCAGAGAGACAGCCTGGCAGCATCACAGACAGCACCGTGTCACTGAGACTGAGAAAATCCAGAAGAAATCGCCCGTTTTTCCCTTTGAATTTTGAAGGCATCAGATACAGACAACTTTGTTACATTGATTTATAAGGAGGGTTTAAAGTCTTATGAACCCTCGAAATCTGACTGCAGAACTGAGGCTGCCAGAGGGGGCAGGGGAGGGAAGCGCCTGGGCCTTGGAGGTGGGGGACGCACCGCTGGAGGGGGTCACTCTACGCCCCAAATCAAACAGTGTCACAAACAACTTCAAGACCGACCGCAGAACAGGCCGCGTCTCCGCCTCAGGCCCAGGCCCTTGGCACGTTTGCATGTTCTCGAATGGACGTGTTTCTCTTCTCGTTTGCTTCCCAGGGCGAGAAAGGCAGCGAGGGGGACCCGGGGAGAATAGTAAGTCACGCGCGGGGACGGCCCCCCCCAGCCCGGCTCAAGGCCCCTGCGGGTGGGCGGGGCCGGCCGGGGCGCGTGGTCCCGGCTTCCTCTTCGCGAAATAACAGCTTCTGAAGTTCCCAGAATGAACCCAAATCCCTGGAAGAGGCGGTGGGGGCTGGGGCGCCGGTCTCCACTCTCCTTGTCATGCCCGGGCCCCTGCGCCCCTTCCCATGTGTCCCATGATGCCGGGGTGGGTCACGGCCCGGCCCCAGAGCCGCCCCGCGCGGAGAACCAGGCCCGGCGCCGCCTCAGCCTCTCGTCCCCGCAGGGCCTGGACCTGAAGGGAGAAGAAGGCATCGTGGGCTTCCCCGGACCGAGGGTGAGTCCCCCGGCCTGGCCGGGCAGGCGTCGCTTCCCAGAGCGCGCGAGGGCACCGCAGAGCCAGCGGCTGGTGCGGCTGGCCGCCCGGGTGGCCTGGCAGGGAACGGTCACGGCAGACGCCGCCTGCACCCAGCACCTCACGCGCTGTCCTCTCCCCCGTTCCTTCGCATTTAAAAGGTGACTTAAAAGCATCACCTGAAAATATGATCTAAGCGACAAACAGAACTTGTAATGAAAAACATCCAAAGGGCAGAGATTTCCCTGCTCGCGCACACATCCCCCACCGCCCCCAGCACCCCAAGGGGGCGATGGTCCAGGGCCAGCTGGCCTCGCAGTGCCCCGCTGTGACCGGGCGGCGATGCGAACCCCGGCAGCGCGCGGACGGCACGGAGCTCACCGTCGCACGCTCATCTCCCGAACAAACCTGCAGGCCGACTGCAGCCCGCGGCGCTGGCTTCTCCCTGCCCTGAGTCCAGCGAATGTGCGGGGGGTGTGGGCGGGGCGGCTCCACCCACAGAGGCCCAGCCTCCTGCCCGCCGTCCTGCCACCTCCCGGCCCAGAGCCGAGGCCTCCCGGCCCGGCCCCAGGTCAGCCGGCCCCGGGTCAGCCAGTCCACCTGGCCAGAGACACACGGGCGGGGAGGCCATGCTGACCGTGCGGCAGCCGCCACCCCTGACGGGCCAGGTCACAACCTCTGACGCAAGAGCTCAGCTGTGGGAGCAGCGCCTGCCTGCGGGCCGCTCCCCTCCCCACGGGCGCATCTTCCTGAATTTCCCGGTGTCTCTGACTCGGGGTGCGGCGTGCGGGTGAGCAGACCCGTCTCCTCGCGGGAGGGCGCCCGCCATGGCCTGGGCCTTCCGCAGCGGGGGGGGGCTCTGCTCGGCCGGGGTCTGCCTCCTGGCGTGCCCCATCCCCTGGCTTATCCGTGGCCCCTCCAAAGGGAGAACGCTGTCCTGGCCATGCTCCGCCCTGTCCTTCCAAACGGCCCGGACGGCTCTGCCGGCCCAGACCTTCCCCCCTCGCTCTTGCCCAGTTGTCACCGCCTCTGTCTTCTGTCCCATCCAGGGCGCCCCTGGCTTTGACGGCGAAAGAGGCCTCCCAGGACAAAAGGTATGTTGGATCCTTTCTGCTGCTGCGCCTGCCCGCGCCCACAGCCCTTCCCGCCGGTCCTCGTGGGGGGTCGGGGGGACAGACCCTTTCAGGCTTCGGGGGGTCTCTCCAGGGATGGTGCGGCTCAGAGGTAAAGCCGCTGGCTCTGTAAACATGTGGGGGTTCAAAAGCAGTAGTTAGCATGAGAGATTATTTCTTTAATGAGGGGAAATGAGTTCTAAGTAGGGTTGCGATGCTCGGCCCGGGGTCCCCTGAGGTGCGGCGCGGCCCCCGGGGCGAGGGTGGACAGCAAGAGCCACAGGCGCCAACTGGGGAGAACAGGGAGACGCGCACGAGACGTGGGGCCTGGTCTCTGCAGCGGCAGCGGCAAAGCCGCTGGAAAAGCAGAAAGGAAGGGAAAGCTAGGAGTTAAAATCGAGCTGAGCGCCGTCAGCCACGCGTCACACGTGTGCTTCGCCGACGCCGACGCCGACTCCTCGGAGCCGCTCTGCAGAAGCCACCCCCGGCCGGGGCGGCGGACGGGGCGGGGCGGGTGGGGCGCTCGAGGACTCACCCGTGAAGGGGCAGAGGGTGGAACTGTGGGCACGTCTTACATGGCACGATGGAGATAAGTGACTCAACACCGAGCGTCTTCCTTGCAGGGAAGCAGAGGACCGGATGGCTACCAAGGGCCTGACGGACTGCCTGGACCCAAGGTGAGGCAGCCCCGGGCAGTCGCCCCTGCCCGCCCGCGCTGGATGCCGGGTGACGTGCACAGGGCCGGTGGCGGCGCAATTCCCAGCCTGCTCCTGGGGCAGGGAAGTGCATGGGGGCAGGCAGGGCCCGGCGGAGGAGGCCAAGACCACCTTGCCTGGTGACACGGCCGAGGGGCCAAGAGGCCCAAGAGGCTGGGGGGGAGAGGGGGGTGCAGTTGGCCGGCCAGACAGGCCCTGCCTGCTGGGTGGGGCGCAGCTTGGGGGGCCATGGTCAGCCCTCGTGAGGCTCACCTGAAAATGGGGCTCAGCGCAGTGGCCAGTCCTCTCAGGGGGTCCCTGCTGCTGAGTGGCAGGGCCTGGGGCAGGTCGTCAGAGGGGCAGGAGGTACCTCCTGGCCACGGTGGGGCCTGGACTCAGGGCTGCAGCGCAGAGGCCCAGCCTGGCCCCAGAGCGGGCAGCTCAGGTCACGGCCCATGTTACTGTCAGGGCTGGAAAGGCCTCACCATCCACCTGTTTCCTCCTCTTTCTCCAGGGAGAAGCGGGCGACCGCGGCCCCCCGGGCCCACCCTCCTTCTTGCCCCACCCGTCCCTGGTCAAAGGTTGGTGTGCGGCTCTCCCCGCGGGGCCCAGGACAGGCTTCTGCTAGGGACACAGGGGCATGAGCTTGCGAGGACGGCTCTCCAAGTGGGCACACAAGGGCACAGCTCCCCGGGCGTGCTTCCACCCCACGTACCCCAAGTGGGTTCGGGGCTGCCGTCTGTCACCGAGGAAACCCCGTCTTCGGCCCCCGCTCCCTTCCCAGGCCCCTTGCTCATTCTTCTCAAAGGCTCCTCCAGGCTGATGCCCCCTGGGGCCAGCTGAGGGGCCTGACGGCGAAGGTGGTCTGGACACATCCAGGCCCAGGTACAGGTCCAGGCAGCGGAAGCCCAGTATTTACACCTGAGCCTCCACGGGGAGGCCCCCCTCCCACAGCGGACCCTGACGAAGGGTTTCCGTGGCTGCGGCTAATGCCCCACTGGCTTTCAGCCCGCGTCCAGTGTGCGAGGGCCGGCTGGCAGGCGCGGGGTCCACAGCGACAGTCTCTGACCTCCTTGAATGTTTGCATAGTCAGGGTTTGAGCAACAACAGCATCTGCGCCCCTGCTCTGAGCGCCCCTGTGTTTGTTTATGGCGCCAGGTTAGAGGAGACTCTGGGAGGGCCGGGCGCTCCGCTGTGGTCTCTGCTGGCCCCCAGGGACTAGAGTGCAGGCCACGGTGCCCAGTGGGTGCCCGCCTGCACAGCAGCGATGTCCGGGCTAGCACTCAGGACAGGTGGGATTTTTTTAAAAAGGGATTTTTTTTTTTTCTGCAAGTAGAGTCTCCCCTGCTTCCTGCACAGAGGCTCATGCTTGCCCAGCTCGCGTGTCGGCGGGCGAGTCACAGCTTGTGATGGGCACTGGCTGTCAAGGGTCCAGGCCACTAGTGCTCCCAGGGCAGCTGTGCCCCCCATGCCCCGCCGGGGAGCAGCCCTGGGCCCCCCGCCATCCGAGGCCGCAGCACAGCAGCTTAGCATGAGTGGGTTTGGGGATCAGAAATGCTGCTTTTAAGACTTTCGGAACATAATTAATCCTGGAGGCATCTCTGATGTTTTTTGAAAGTGTCACTGACTGTGAGCCTGGAATTCTTTACTTTCTCCTCCCTGTACTCCTGAAAACCACACCAAGAAGGTGGGTGGCTCAGAAATTCACATCCCCAAGGCAGGTTAGCAATGCCGAGGCCGTCGAGCCGGTTGCAGGAGAGCTGGGTGGCTCGCCCAGCACTTTCCAGGCCTTCGAGTGGGAGGGTGACGGGCAGGAAAGGAAAGCAAGCCTCTCTCCGGAGTCCTGCGTGGGAGCTGGCCTGCAGGCGAGGGAGGGGAACTCTGGCTTTAAACAAAGGCTTGCAAGTTACCTTGGAGCAGGCAGCCCCCAGGCAGGCGGGTCTGCCTCTTGCCTCCTCATCCACCGAGCGTGGCTGGCGGGAGTGCCCCTGGCTGGCGGGGGGTGCGCCGCGGGCCGGGCTGCCATGTGTGTGGTTCTGACCGCCCTTGCTGACTGCCTGACCCTGTCCACCTTTGAGATGCCGGCCCCACTGGGCCGCTGGAGGGTGGGGGCCACACTAAGATCAGCTGCCCGCCCTGCCGGGGGCAGCCAGCCTAGGCACACCGGGGTACACAGTGAAGCAACACCCACAGACCCTCCCTATAGCAGTGGTGGCTTCCGGCCATCGCAACCCCATGGGCCCAGCGTCGCCCCTCGTCCCTCCCACATATCCCGGAAACATGGGTGGCACAGGGAAGCATTCACACCGCCCCGGCGCAGCCCCCACCAAGCCACCCACTCAGGCTCCTCTGCAGCCTGACCTGGCTCACCTGCTCCCTGGCCCTCCAGCCCAGACCCCGCCGGCCCTGGCCCCTGCTCCCGGCCTTCAGCTGGCCCGTCCCCGCCCCTGCGCCCTGCTCCCTGTCTCCCAGACGCCACCCCTGCCTGACGTCCAGCCTCGGGCCACCTTCCCCGTGAGGCCTCCGTCCGCACCCCAGCGTGTGATCAGCGCCGGCCCGCCCTCTCTGCCCCGCTCCCACGCCTCCTCCGCGTCGGGCTCCCCAGTGACCACCCACCCTTTGGAAGCTCCCACAGCTGCGTGCACCTGCGCCTGCCTGTGGTTTCATAACATCCCCAGGACCCGTGTCCCCCCACTCGACTGACACCAGCTCCTCAGACACCTGCCTGGGTCAATGTTCACAGCCACGCACGCCTCCCACGCTGTCGTGACGGGCACCAGACAAGGGTCTCGTGCTGACGGTGGCATCTGTCTCGGTTCCAGGTGCCAGAGGAGACCCAGGATTTCCAGGGGTCTATGGGGAGCCAGGGAGTCAGGGTCAGCCAGGAGACCCCGGTCCACCAGGACTCCCCGGCACACCCATCAGCCTCGAAGGTAATGTGGTTGTGTGGGAGGAGCTAAGAGCGAGGGTGGCCCGGCCCCCACAGACCCGGCCTCCAGCCCCTTGTAGGCCCGGCTCCTGGTGCAGTTCTTGCCCAACCTAAGGCCGGCGGCTGTCGGGGTCTCACATGGGTGTCCTTGGCCCCCCAACAGTGTTGGCCCCCGGGGTTAGGCCCCAGTGACTGGGAAGCAGCTTGGGGGCGCAGAGAGCCCAGCAATCCTCAGGTCGTCTTGCTGACAGCAACTCTCAGCTGTTATGGGGGGGAGGTGGTTTCTAAAGTCAACAGATGGTGGTAAAACTTGCCGACGGAGCCCTCCCAGGCCGGCCGGCCCTGCCATGTCCCCCTTGGGTGGGGATGCAGCCGCCACCCGCCAGGAGCCCAAGTTTCATCCTGCAGTGTTTGCTCTTGGACCCACAGATGACAAGAGAGGCTTCCCGGGCGAAATGGGACCCAAAGGCTTCATAGGAGAACCAGGCATCCCTGCACTGTACCCCGGCCCACCAGGGACGGACGGACGACCCGGATTCCAAGGCCCACCCGGCCCCGCTGGCGACCCCGGGCCAGATGGTGAGTGAGGAGCCACCAGGCGGGGTGCCTGGGTCTGGATCAGAATCTGACTTGGGTTTCCCACCACTTAACCCGGGCACAAATGTGGTGGGTGCCGGGGTGCCAACAGGTTAGGCTGGCGACAGGCAAAGCAGTGTCCCTGTGGTCCCTGCAGACACACCAGGCTGGCGAGCGGCGCCCAGCCAGGTCCGTGCAGAGAGCTCCACGCTCCCAGTGGCCCTCGCAGCCGTGCTCCACGGCGTCCTGGCCAGACTGGGCAGGTGCCGCCTGAGGGTGGCAGCAGCCACGACAGACAGGTGGCTGTGCTGTCTGGAAGGAAGTAGCAGCCACTGGCCAGGGCTGAGGGACACTGGGCAGCCGGGCCCACTCCAGTCGGACCCCCCACCCCACCCCACGCTCCAGGCCGCAGCCCCAGCCCGCACCCGCCCGGGAGCCTGCGTCAGAGACGGACACTCTGGGCAGCTTCCGCTTTAAACAGCGGCCTCCTGGCGGAGGCTGGACGGTTGCGGCACTGGAAGAAAAAGAGGCCGTGAGCCCTCCTGGGCCACATTGGGCAGCCCCTTTTCAAAACACTGACTTTAAAATCCCCGACATCCTCCCAAGAATCTCTGACAGCCCCTCATTCGGGCGAGAGGGTCGTGTTTGCCGGCGGGCGCTGTTTGGTTTCTGCTGAATGTCAGAGCCTCGGGCCGGAGTTCCTGCGGGAGCCCGCTCTGTCCCCGGGGAGCGTCTTCCATGAAAACGCGGCCGTGTCTGCTCCCACTCCGTCTGTCTGCGGCCGCGCTGCTTCCCAGTTCTCAGTTGGCAAAAACAGGATCTCGCATTCTCGGGGGGAACTTTAGGTGCAGCTGTTTCCCTGGAGTTTGCCAAATAGCTGGAGGGTGTTATCGTGACTATTCTCTATTATCCTGGAAGTAACATTTATTACGGGGTCATCTGGAATGGGTGCTAAGTTTCCAGAATGTTGTGTTTCCCAAGTAAGTAAGATCTGTTGGAGTTTCGTGGCAACAGAATACGAAGTGTTAAAAGTAAAGGCCCAAAAGCAGACCTCTTCGAAGGCCGCTGCTAGGAGGCCATCGTCGCTGCTGTCCTGCCACCACGTCCTGTCCGCGGACACGGAGCCTGACCTGCTCATGACTGTGTGACGGCCTAACAGGTGTCTGCACAGACGCGCGGATGCCTGTCCCCGGAGTGGACGAGGGGAGATTTATGGCAGGCCTGGCATGGTGGCCCATAAATTTATCAGCAAAAATGTTAGTGCCTGCAACTTAAGTTCTCCTGGAAATATTTATCTTACCCCAGGAGACACACTGTTTCCAAACCACCTATTTTTGAAAACAATCTCTGCCAGGAGAAAACAGCCAACATAAGGGCCTTTAAAAACATGTTTGTGAGTAATCAGGAGCGCTCATCAGTGACCCTGAGCCCACGGAGTTGGACTTTTCTCCTGGAACGAACTTGTTGGATTCTTTCCTTGTTAACTGCAGCTCGTCTGTTCTAGACGTTTCTGCTGATAAAACCCAGAATGTTTAGTCTCTGCAGTCCCCGCAGAATCCACCCGCGAAGCCCGTGTTCTCCGCGCACTTGCGCTCCGCCCGCCCCGCCCCAGCGCGGCAGTGCCGTGGCCTGGAACAAGCCAGAATGGTGCCTGCTGCCGCGGCCGCTGGCAGGAAAGGCGTGTCCAGCAGTGAGCTGCGTTCCCCGTCGTTTGAAATCATGAATTCATTCGATAAAGAAGCAGCCGGGGTGGGGGCAGCCACGCCATCTCTCATGGCGGCGTCTGGGGACGCTGAGGAGCCCACAGCCCCTCCGATTGAAAACTCTGCCATCTTGACCTCTGTGGTCAACAGCCACCCACAGGGCCGCACGGCCCAGCCCAGGGTGGACATGCCCCGCCGGTCACCACTGACGCTGGAGTCCCCGGCCTCCCGGGCCTGGGTGCAGCAGCGCCCCCTCACCCCACCCCGCTGCCCGGAGCCCTGCTGTCCTGCCCGCCTTGGGTGCTGAGGCCGTTCTTTTAGAGACTCCTCTGCTGCTGGCTCCCCTTCCGCCCATCCAGCTGGGCGTGTTGGGGCGTGGGCCCGTCTCACTGGGGGCGCGCGTCCCTCCTCGTGAAGTTGAGGACGAGTCACTTGCCGACCTGCCCTCGCTGCGCTGCCTGGTTCTGGGTCCTGAGCTCCCCACTCGGGCCAAGTGTCCAGGGAGGGCCCACGCGGACCCCCATCACCGCGCCCCGCCCAGTGCACCATCCGAGCCTCTGCTTGTCCACAGCCCCACGCCCCCAATCCTCACAGCACCCCCACGTTCTCCCGCCAGCCCTCACAGCCGGTCTGCATACTTCCCCCAAGCCCCTGCCTACACCGCAGGGTCTACACCGGCAGGGCGAACGTCCTTTACCTGTAATCACATCGTAACTTCCCTCCCGGAAGGCGACCCGGTTCCTGCACCTGTGGCCTGGTGCCCCACCCCTTCACTGCCACCCCACCGTGCACCCTAGTCCCCTTGGCACCCCTCCCGAGTCACTGGCTTCCGTCCTACCCGGAGACTCTGGCTCCCCCTCTCTGGAGCCCCCCCCCCCCGTCCACTGGTTGGCTCTCTTGTTCTTGAGATCTTCACTTCTGCACGGCCTCCTTGGGGACCCTCACGGCCCCAGCTGTAAGCGGGTCTCTCCTGCACTCTCTGATGGCCGCCACGGTCACCGATCGACCCACGCTTGCCCTGGGTCTGCATCTAAGACGCCGTTACCACGGCAAACAGCGCCCAGCGCCATGAACACATGAGCACAGTCCCAGTGACCATGGGGTGGCCACATCCCCGGCACAGGCTCGCTGCCTCCCCTAAAGGCAGGGAGCTCCCCGGGGCCCCCGACATTCAGGCCCCAGAGCCGTTTTCCACACAGAGAACAAAAGCCTTTTAAATTGGGTGGCAACATGTATGTTGGGGGCTGTCCCGTGGGGCTGTCCCGGGTGCAGCAGGAAGGTCGAGGAGCGGGACCTGCCGCCCCCACGGCACGTGGGTGTGTCCAGAAAGGCACGCCCAGCCCTGCCACAAGGCGGCGCTCTCCCTGGCGGGATGGGGAGCCCGGAGTACCCTGAGGGGGCGGGAGGTGAGCGGGCGGCAGCCAGGGTGGACCGTGACCCCGCGGCTCACAGGGGCTGGCGTCCTCATGCGAGGGGATGCGGCGGGGGCAGCACAGGGAGCCGAGCTGGTCTTCACATCGTTCATGGTTCCGTCTGGGGCTTGGTTTCTCCCGGCCTGCCGGGGACGGGCCTCAGCGCAGAAGTCAGTTATGGGTGAAGATTGAAACCCGTCTTCGGAGTCCGTGTTCCTCAAAAGAGAAGACGTGGCCCTGGATTCTGAGGAAACTGGGCCACGGGTCTGGGGGCGCCAACAGCACGTGCTTCTCTGGGAAGTGGTTTGGGAGCGAGCTGGGGCGTGACCCCAGGCAGGAGGGGTGGCCTCAACCCACCGCCGCGGCTGGGCAGGTCCATGGGCACTGACCACCCTGTGCTTCCCTCTCCAGGCTACCTGTTTGGCCTTAAAGGATCGACGGGGCGGGTGGGCTACCCCGGTGCCTCTGGATTCCCCGGCGCCCGCGGACAGAAGGGCTGGAAAGGTGAGCTGCGCCGGCTCCGCTCCCTCTGAAATGAGAGGCCTGTCCGCGGCCAGCACCCCGCCCGCACTGCTTCCCTGCAGCTGAGACGGCAGCCCCAGCTCCGCTCTCGGAGCCCCTGGTCGCGCCACCACCGCCTCCTTCCTGGGCGCAGAGCAGGGGTGGGGACAGAGGAGGCGATGCGACTCCTCAGCCTGAACCCCAGGGTGGCCAAGGGCCCTCCCCTGAGTGCTTGTCGGGCCGTCACCCCAGAAATCCCAGGCTCAACTCCCTGCATGCGGGCCAGCCGCCCATGGGATGCCAGGCGCGGCTATCCCTCTCCGCCGTGATGGCCCTGCTCCTGGCCAGTGTGGGCAGCACTTCCCAGTGCTTACCAGCCCCTGCCCTCCCGGTGTGCGTGGGTGCTGAGGCGCTTCCACGCCCCCAGGCACCCTCTGTGGATGGGCCTCGGCAGGGTCAGGCACTGGGCAGCTAGACCGCCCATCTCCCCAAGCATCAGTGTCACCTGTGCCCTGGGGACCCCACCCACCCCCAGCGCCGGGCTCCCTGGCCCAGCCACGGCAGACAGAGAGGAGGGGCCTGCTTCTTCCCTGCCCACCGTGACCTTGGCCTCCCAGCTCTTGCCAGGCCACCCCCGCAGCTCCCCTCCCCAGCCTCTGGGCCCCAGCTCCCCTCCCCAGCTCCTCCCTGGGCCCTGAGTGGGGACCCTGCGGCACCTGCACCAACCCCTCAACATCCCTGCATGCCCCTCGGGCCCGCCCGCACCCCCACTGCAACCGGACCAGTGCCAGCTTGTCCCAGGAGATCCCGTGTCCCAGGGGTGCCGGGGTGCAGCGACTCACACACCTTGTCTTAGCAATGAGGGCCCCCTAGGCCAGGTTGAGACCAGCGTGGGCGGCCTGGGCGGGCGTGGCCCCGGTCAGAGGGTGAGCGACACTCAGGACTAACCAGCGCCCCTCCCCGGCCCTCCCCCTCGCAGGCGAATCCGGGGACTGCAAGTGCGAGGACGGGGACGTCAGGGGGCTCCCGGGGCTGCCCGGACCCAAGGGCTTTCCAGGCTTCAACGGCGAGCCGGGGAGGAAAGGAGGCCACGGAGACCCCGGCCAGCACGGCATCCCTGGGTTCCCCGGGTTCAAGGTGAGTGAGCAGTGGCCGAGGACCAGTCCCTCCCGGGGCTGAGATGGCAGCGGTGCGCACCCCGTGCCAGCGTCCCCCAGCCGCTGGACCCCGAGGGCAGGACCCCCCAAGCCCCCGCCGGGCTGGGCTGTCGCTGACCGGCCGCAGGGGACGCTGGCCTGGGCCTGGAGAATGTCACCCTCCCTGCGAAGAGCTGGATCAATAAATCAAGCCTCTGTGGAATGTCCCGGGGGGATGGCGCCCGCCATCACGCCTGGCATTCCGTTTACTTAGTCAACTTAAAAACTCCCTAACTCGGGCCTCCCCGGTGGCGCAACGGTTGAGCGCTGGGTTGCGAAGCTGCCCGCAGCCTCTGCGACGCCGGTTCGATTCCCGGCTGCTCCCCGGCCACCGGAGGAGGGTCCCACATGGCGCACAGACCTCTCCTGCCGCCCGCTGCTCCCCTCAGCAGTGTGCTTCGGTCCTTCTGCCTGCTCTGCTCCCCGCTCTGGTGAATTCTCTCACCCTCCCGCGCTTCTGACTGTACCCAGTGCTTGTATAAATAAATAAAATAAAAATAAATCTTTAAAAAAAAAAAAAAAAAAACTCCCTAACTCTCGCGAATAGCAACCCCCAAGCTCTGCCCAAAGCTGATCTCACACCTCCAAGTACATTCGGGCTCATTCACTCGCTGCTCTGCTCGTCCGGGACGTGACCTCAGCAGACCTCACAGCCCAAGTGTGAGCGTCCCTGCGCACATGCCCTTCAGAGTCTGGTTTTCCAGCCGCGAGACAGCCTGTCCCGAGTACGCGCAGGGGGCGGTGACGGGGCTGCCTCTGTCACCCGCTGGCCAGAGCAGTCGCTGCAGCTCCCAAGCTGTGTCAGCCTCGCAAGGTTAGGGCTTCCTCCCCGGGCTTTCTTGAGACCGACTCTGGCTCGACTGCCCAGGACGGTGCAGCCTCTGCAGTGAGCTCTGGGGCGGCTCCTGCTGCTGGGTCGGGGCCCAGGATCTGAGCAGGAGACGCCTGCGTTCCCCGCCCAGCCTCACGCGGCCACCTCCACACCCGCTGAATTCTTCAGCATTAAACACCCGGCTCCTCCGCCTCTCCGGCCACATCCAAGTGCTCAGTAGCATGGACGGTCCCGACTGGGCCTGGCCGGAACCACAGAAAGGTCCCTGGACGCCAGGCTTGCCGAGCCCACGGCCCTCGGTTCCAACAGCCGGCAAACGGCTCTCCCGGGCCCGCGTGCAGGTGAGGACGCTCGTGTTTGCTTCCGCAGGGAGCTCCTGGGGCGAGCGGCCCTCCGGGGCCCAAAGGCGCGAAGGGAGACTCCAGAACAATCACCACCAAAGGTCAGTGCCCCGTGGCAGAGCGGCGTGTGGATGGGGAGCCCGCCACGGCCGCCCGGGCTCACACTGCCGACCCCCCCAGGTGAGCGTGGACAGCCGGGGATCCCGGGCGTGCCGGGCCTGAAGGGAGACGACGGCTTCCCGGGGCGTGCCGGGCTCGACGGCTTCCCGGGCATGCCGGGGCCCCCGGTGAGTCCCCCCGGGTTCTGGGGCTCTGCGCGAGCGAGCAGAAATCCCCCGCGGTGAGAGAGGGGGCGCCGGCCGCAAGCCCAGACCACAAGTCAGGCAGGGTCGGGTGGTTTCTGTGGCTGCCGGACCCGGGGCTGACGGTCGGGGCACCAGCCACCTGGCTCCGGACCCTGCGCCCCTCCCCACCCGGCGTGGTCACAGGCCATGCTTGGCCTCCGCCTCGGACGCGCCCCTGGCTCGTCCCAACGCGAGCCTCCACCCCTCAGCGGCGCCTCAGCCCTGCGCCCCGCGCTCGGCCGCGCACGTGGTGTCATGGGAGAAAACGCCCCCCGCTACCCGGAGCCGCCGCTCTCACCGCAGCTCCCCTGGGGCTCAGGCGCCCCACGCAGGGCGCTGGGCGTGGGCAGAGGGCGCCTGCCGCGGTGCTGCTTGCGGCTGAAGTGAACGTGCGGTCGCTTCACCCACCGAGGGGCTCACTGGCTCCGCCATCTGCCCGCCCGGCCCGCGGCGCAGACGCCAGGACGGGGAGGCGGCCCTGCGGCTGCCTGTGTGGTGAGAGGGAACCATCTTCACTAGGGCGACGGCATCAAAGGCCCCCTTGGGGACCCGGGTCTCCCCGGAGTTCCGGGCACCAAGGGCATCCCAGGAGAAAGGGGACCCCCCGGATTCGGCTTGCCGGGCCCCAAAGGCGAGCGTGGATTCCCCGGAGACGCCGGCTTACCTGGACCACCAGGCTTCCCCGGCCCCCCCGGCCCTCCCGGCCCCCCAGGACCAATCGGTGAGGAGGGGTCTTCCTCTCAGCTGTGCGCCCGCCGCCGCGCCCCGCGCCCTCTTCTGGGCCAGGAGCGAGGCTCCGGGGCCCCAGGAGAACGCAGGGCTGCGTGCCCGTGGGAGGGCGCCCGCCTCCAGCACCCCCAGCCGCAGAAGGGGCCCCCCAAGAGCGGAAGCCAAGGAGCCTGTGCGGGCTCAGCCCAGCCCCAGCCCCGCAGGACGCCCTCCCCGCCCCGCACGCTCACGGGGCCAGTGACAGCCTCGCTCGTGTCTCTCCAGATTGCGAGGACGGCGTGAAGAGGCCCATCGGGCAGGAGATCGTCCGGCCAGGTACTCAGGGACCCCCGCGCCCGCGCTGCGCCCCAGCGAGACCAGAAACAGGCGAGGCCGGGGGGCCGCTCCCCACCCACGGGCGGCAGCAGCACGGCCCCCGGGCCTCGGCCAGCTCCGGGAGCCTCAGCCGCAGACCAGCCCTCTGACGGCACGGGCGGGCCCAGGAGGCGGCGCCGGCGCGTGGAGGGGAGCGGAGGGGCTCCGTGGGGCGCGCAGGGCTGGGGTCCGAGGCAGACACAGGAACCCAGGGGGGCGCAGAGAAGAATCCGAGGCCGCAGGAACGGCCGCGCCCGGCCAGGCTCCGGGGCTGAGGAGGCCGTAGCCGCGCGGAGTGGCCGGGGCAGTGGTGCCGGCCGCAGCGCCGTGAGGGTCTGGGGGTGAACGCTCAGAGGAAGGCTGGGGCCGAGTCTGCCCCGGGCCGGGTGGGTGGGTGGGGCGGCCACAGGGGGGAGCTCCGGGGGAGGTGGGGGCAAGCAGGCTCCCAGGGGCGGCCGGGCGGGGGCTCTGTGGGCCCCCGAGGCCATCGGTCCTTTCTTTCACGACCTGCGCTGCCAGCTGGCACCCGCCCCGGGGTGGCAGAGCCCGCCACGGCGCACCTTGGCTGCGGGGCCAAGACGGGAGCCTGGCCGGACGCCAGCAGCCGCTCCGCCGCCTGCCACGGGGCGGGACGGTTCTCAAAGCGCATCTCAGAAGTCGGGGCGCCCCTCCCAGACCACAGACAAAAGCGGCGTCCCCGCGACGGGCCGGCAGGGGGCGCTCGTGGGCTCCGCCTCCCCGGCCCCAGTCCTGGGGCAGCGGCCAGCGCTGTCTCCGTGGACTCGCGGCCTGCGGGCTCGTCTCTCCCGCTCCCACGGTGGAACACGACTCTGAGCCGCGTCTCCCCCCCAGGGCCCCAGGCTGCCTGACGGAGCTGGTGCGCCTGCGGCCGCGTCCCCCCGGCACCCTCGTCCTGCCGGAGGCGGCTCCGCTCACCCCTCCTCTCTCTTCCAGGCTGCGTCGGAGGGCCCAAGGGGTCGCCAGGCCAGCCAGGACCCCCCGGCCCCACAGGTAACTGCTCCCCGGAGGGACCTCCGCCTCTCCACGGCGTCTCACCCCCTGCTCCCCCTGCTGGGCCCCGCACGAGCCACGTCCCCCTCTCAGCCCTCCGCAGGCTGCCGCGGCTGCCCGGCACCCTCCTGGCCCTGGAAGGGACAGTGGGTGCCCCTCGCCGGCCGAGGCAGCAGAGCTGGGGCTCAGCCTCCCATGCCAGAGGGGGGCTGCCGCCTTAGGCAGAAAGGAAGCTTGTCTCCCTGCAGTCTCCTCTTAGCCCTTGCGTCTCGGGGTCTGAGGGAGGCCCCGGGACGGGCTGTTCCTGTGGTCTGGAATGTGGGGGAAATAGAGAGAAACGAGGCTCAGAATCTCTTTACCCCCAGGGGTCAGGGGTGTCTTGTCTCCTGCAGCCCCAGGAGTAAAGGGGTTTTGTCTCCTGGCTCAGGCCAGTCACCCCAACTAAAGAGCCTGTGAGAAGGGGGCCCCCAAACGCAGCCCGGTGTCGGGGCCGCCCCTCGCCCACCCGTGGCGTGTTCCAGTGAGACCACCCGGTGCCGTGCGTGCCCGTCGGCCGGCCTGGAGCCGGCGTGGGCGGGGCGTCCTGGGCCCCGTGCTCCACTGGACGGGCGGGGTGGGTTTCCGGTGGACGGCAGGGTCAGGCAAGGCAGCCCCTCCCAGAGAAGAGGAGGCGTGGACGAGACAGTGGGGTGCCCGTCTTCCAATCCCAGGGGCGAGGTGGACGCAGTGCAGCTGCCCTCCAAGGGCGAGGCTGGCATCTCCTCCCACTTGCCGATGGGAAGGCGGAGGCACAGGGAGGTCCAGACAGTGTCCAGGCCACACGGCAAGGAGCAGCAGGGCCGCGAGCCCCAGGCCTCGGGTCTCAGTGCCCCGGAACTCTGATGTCGGCCCTGACGGTGGCTCGCGCCCCAAGCGCGGCTTTTACACACAGAGGCCCCAGGGCCTGCCTCAGCCGTGCGGCCCTCAGCTCCAGGCCCCATGCGGCCAGCGGCCCCTGGCCCAACCATGCAGGCCCTCCTGCCCGCATCCAGGGGTCTGCGCACACCCGTGCTCACTGAGCTCCCGCAGGAAGCTCCACAGCTCCCTGTCCAGGCGGGGCTGTGGCGTGTCCTTGTGTGGGGGCTGCACTGGAGCGGGCTCATCTGGCCACTCTGGGCTGGCTCGGCAGGCAGGACCTCCCCCAGCAGCTGGCCTGGGCTTCCGGGCAGGCCATGCGCTGTGGGGGGGTGCCTACCTCCAGATCAGGGGGCCATGCAAGGGTGGACCCCCAGCCCCAAAGCTCCCCAGCTCTTGGGGGCACAGTAAGTCAGGCACTGAGCCTGCCACCTCCTGTCCTTACCATGGGGTGTCCTGACGAGTCGTGGTTTCTTGGGGTATGCAGGTGCCAAAGGCCTCCGAGGGACACCAGGATTCTCAGGTGCTGACGGAGCCCCAGGACCCAAGGGCCTCCCGGGAGAACCAGGTCGCGAGGGGTTTCCAGGACCCCCAGGTACGTCGGGTCAGGTCTTTCTCCACCCTTCAGCTTGAGTAATGGCTGTGTGTGGGTGAGGGGTGCCCCAGCTCTCTGCCTGGGCTCCAGGAGGACGCACATATCAGCTCAGTCCACGGTGCAGCCAGGCCGGGGCCGGCCAGGCTCGTCAAACCTCCGTGGGGCCGCCTCTTGGCGTGAGCAGGCCCCATCATTCACGCTGTCACCCTCGGGCTCAGCCCAGATCCCAGATGTGGCTCCATCGCCCACAAGGCAGCCCTACGGCTGGCAGGGGATGGGGGGCGGGGCTCCCATGGCCGCCAGAGGCAGGAGTGGCTCGGGAAGCTTTCCTTCTGAACACCCCCGGGACCGCTGCCCTCAGAAGTCACTCTGGCCCCCCGCAAAGGCCCGCGGCCCCTGCACGTGACAGCCGCCCCCGCCTGGCTCGGCAGCCATGGCTCTCAGCAGAGGGAGGGCGTCGTCCCGCAGGCTCTCAGGCTGGCCAACAGCCAGGGCCCCCAGCAAAGAGCGCGTCCAGGCCGTCTGGGCCCTGAGGCTGGTGGCCCCCCTGGGCTTCGCCTCCCTGCTCTGTCCCTGGCTGGCACATGCCTGGCACAGAAGGTCCCTCAGGAGCCATTTGCACAACACATGGGCCCAGGGACTCGAAGACCTTATCCAGGAGCGGCTGGGTCTGAAGGTCCCCCCTTCGCTGCATGTGGGCCCAGCCAGGGGGAGGCAGGGTCTGGATGGAGCCCAGTGCCGCCCGCCACTCTCGGGGCTCCCCTCACAGGGTGTGGTGCTGACCGCCCTGTGTCCTCTAGGCTTTGTGGGACCCCGAGGATCCAAAGGCGCAGTGGGCCGCCCCGGCCTGGATGGACAGCCGGGTCCCAGTGGCCTGCCAGGCCCGGTCGGGCCCCCTGGAGATAGGGGCCTCCCCGGAGAGGCCCTGGGAGCACAGCCAGGGCCCCGGGGCGACGCTGGGCTGCCTGGACACCCTGGACTGAAAGGCCAGCCGGGAGAGAGAGGCCCGCCTGGATTCACCGGTACGTGGCTCCTGCAGGGGTGGGAGGCCCCAGACACTGCAGAACAGACCTGGTCGCGGGCTCGGAGACAGGCGTTCGCACGCCGGGTGGGGTGCCCAGCGACGGGCGTCCATGCGCCCGCTCCACCTGCTCGTGGGGTGGGTGCGGGGACGGCGGCATGTGGCCCCAGGGCACGTTTTTCAGTGCAGCCAAGTGCACGAAAATAAAACGCCCAGTAGAAAGGGGACTGGACTGCACTCACGCCAGGGCCGGGGCTGGCCACACGAACGCCTGCCTCCGGCGTGTCTGTACGAGCGGACGAGGCCAGAGGGAGGCCGCCGGGAGGGAGGCCGCCCGTCCCCCCATCTCCTTCACGCCAGGGAACCGCCGTCCTGTCTCGAGGCAGCTGCTGTCCCAGGGTCGTGAGGGGCGGGGCTCACGCTCACCTCCCGCCTCTGCAGGGAGCCAGGGCATGCCCGGGATGCCAGGGCTGAAGGGGCACTACGGCTTCCCGGGCCCCGCGGGCCAGCCAGGACTGCCCGGGCCGCCAGGACTGCACGGCTTCCCTGGAGCTCCCGGCCGGGAGGGGCCCTTGGGGCTGCCAGGGGCCCCAGGCTTTGGAGGTAGGATCCCCCTCCCACTCGGTGGGGCCTGCTGTGCTCCCCGGGCCCCCCACCGCTGTGGGTGAACCCGCAGGAAGGAACACCATGTGCCGGGGGCCTCTGCTCCCTGCCCGCGCGTCTGCGCCCCGTGGCGTGTGCCCCTAACGAGGCCTCAGCCGTGCTGACGGTGCGCGCCCCGAGGTCCCCGCTGAGCCGTAGCCTCGCCGAGGGCCTGTGTCCGGGCAAGTCGGCCTCCGGGCGCTGGGGCGGGGGCGTCGCAGACACGGGGCCGGCCACGGCGGTGTCCAGAAACAGGGCGCGCTCAGCCAGCGAGGAGGCCCCTTCACCTGCTGCACGCGGGGTTCTCGGGGAGCAGACTCCCCCGAGCGCAAGCCCACCCACACTGCGGGCAGCCATGGCTCTTCGTTTCCTGACAGTGATAGGGACCCTGACAGTGACAGTGACAGTGACAGGGACCCTCCTTCGTGGGGGTGGGGCAAGAGGCTCCCCTGCCCGCGGGCCTCAGGGTCCCGTGGGTGGCCCCACTGGGCCAACCCCCGCCCTCCTCTTTGGAGGCGCTTCCTGAGAGCTGTCCCCACGGGGAGAAACTCGGGGGAGGCCGGAAGCCACCATGTGGGAAGCAGCTGGGCCAGGTGACGCCCCCTGGAACTTACCCTGGGCTGGAGGGGGGAAGCCCACAGGACCCCACAACCCGCCTGCTCACCCTCTGCCCTCCCCAATGCGGAGCCAGGACTGGGTGGGGTCCCGCTCAGCCGCGTCAGGCCTCCGGCCCCCAGGAAGGCTGACCGTGCGGGCCCCACACTCCACCCACCTGTCCACTCACCTGCCTGGCCGCGTCCCCAGCTCCCCCACAGAGCCAAGCTCAGGGCAGGGGTTGTCCTGATGCCGCCAGCCTCGTCCCGAGGCCTCTCCGAGGCCATCGCCCTCCTGACTCTCCTGCCCCGCTCTGACAGGCCTGCCCGGAGACAGAGGGGACCCGGGGGACGTGGGCGCCCCCGGACCTGTGGGCATGAAGGGGCTCTCCGGCGACAGAGGAGACCCGGGTTTGCTGGGCGAGAGGGGTCAACCTGGAAACCCCGGATTTAAAGGCATGGTCGGGATGCCCGGCACCCCCGGGCTGAAAGGTAACCAGGGGGCAAGATGGGTGTCGGCTGGGGGCGTCGGCTGGGGGCGCTGGGTGGGTCACACTGGACTAGGGGCAGCTGGGGGCTCCCCTCCCTGGGAGCCCCAGCCCGAGGGACGTGCCTGTGGCTCTAAGGCGGGGGTGAGCCCGCAGAGAGGACCTGAGAACAGGACTGGCCACCTGCAGGGATGTGGGAGCCTGGTCTGGCAGCTCACCCAGGAGCCATTGCCCAGGCAGGGCCAGTGCTCCAGCAGCGGGGCCTCTGGCCCGGTGGCTGCTCGAGCCGCCCCTGCTTCCTGTCCACCGTCCGTGCGGCGCCGGGCATGTGGGCGCGTGCGGCCGCCTGTGCCTGTTCTCACTTCTCGGTGGCCAGCAGCAGCCACCTTCCGGCTCTGCCATCCCTCTGCTGCCCGCTGGGCATTGCCTTACGTCTCGTCCACCAGGGCCAGCAACGGGCGGGCTGCAGCGCCACCCCCAGCTGCCTCCCCCAGCTGGACAGGCCCTGGGGTGGCGTGCGGGGCCCCGGGCGGGCTAGACCCGCACGGCGTCCCATCAGCTCCTGGGCGCTGCCGCGGACGGGCTGGTTCCTGTGTCTGACCCCACCCTCTCTCCCCCAAGGGGGCAGGGGCTCCCCCGGCATGGACGGCTTCCAAGGCATGCTCGGACTCCAAGGACGGCCTGGTTTCCCGGGTATCAAAGGCGAAGCTGGATTTTTTGGCGTCCCGGGGCAGAAGGGCCTGGCGGGCGAGCCAGGGGTTAAAGGTAGGCGCGCTCCTGCTGGCCTGTCCGGCAGGGGCAGGGCAGTGGCCGGGCCTGAGCAGACGTGCAGGACGCGGCCAGGGCAGGGCTGGGGGGCGCTGGCGTTCTGTGGGGTGGTGCGACCACACCCCCTCCGCCCTCCTCCAGCTCCGGAGCGGGGCACGCACGCTCTCCCTCCCCACGGTGCTTTGCTGGAAATCTTCATTCCTCCCCAGAGACTTCACCCTTGTTAGCATTTTTGTAAAACAGAAATTCCACGGCAGGGCACAGCCCCAGCTCCCTGCTCACGCGGGCCTTTAGGCATCTTCCCGAAGCCTGGAAGCTCCGGGCCGCACCCCAGATTCTAGCCACTTCCTCTGGGGTACCCTGCACCTCCCCAGCCTCCTGGCCAAGGTCGGGAGCGTCTGGGCCCCCCGGGTGCCTGGCCTCGCGGGCCCACGTTCAGCGGGTGGGTGAGACGCTCGCCATGCGTGGGAGGGACCCGCCGCCTCTCCAGCCTCGAGCACGTCGGGAACACACTCGGCCCAAACCTCAGGCCTCGGCCACGGTCCGTCCAGCGTGGGGCCTCCTGCCTCGGCGGCTAGGGGTGTCTCAGGCCCCAGGCTCCCCCTCCCCCAGCTTCGCCGGACACTGAGGAGCGGGTCCTGCCACTGCCCGGGGCCCTGTGCCGACACCCCTGCTCCGCACCCTTGCTCCGGGTGGGCAGGAAGCTTCGTCCCTGCCGGAGCCACAGCCAGCTCTGGGCCTCCAGGAGCCTCCCCCGTGTCCCAGTCCAGGGGCCAGACTACAGACTGCACTGTGCCCCCTTCCAGGCAGCCGTGGAGACCCCGGCCCCCCAGGACCACCTCCCATCATCCTGCCTGGAATGAAAGACATCAAAGGGGAGAAAGGAGACGAAGGCCCCATGGGACTGAAAGGGTACCTGGGCTTAAAAGGTGAGGTGTCCAGACATCTGAGCTGGGGGTCCCCACCCCAGCACCCCTAAACTGTGAGGAGCGCCGCCCTCCGACCCTGGCATCTGGCCCAGTGGCTCCAGGACCACAGTGTGGGGAGCCACGTCCTCACTGCGTGGCCCTGTCTTCCTGCAGGTGTTCCAGGAATGCCGGGGATCCCCGGGACCTCGGGATCCCCAGGGCTGCCCGGGAGGCCCGGTTACATCAAGGGTGTCAAAGGCGACATCGGCGTGCCTGGCGTGCCTGGCTTACCAGGCTTCCCCGGGGTGCCCGGCCCCCCCGGAATCATAGGCTTCCCGGGGTTCACAGGAAGCAGGGTGAGTGGGCGCCTTCCCTTCCGTGTCCCTTCACGCACCTCCCAGGGTCCCGGGGCAATCAGGGTGTCGCTCCAGTGGGTGAAGATTGGGGTCCACGTCATTCACGGGAGACTCGAGGGAGCAGAACCCGCATATCCAGCATCTGAGCTCAGGCTGAGTGCCGGCGACGCGGGGAGACCGCCAGGTTGGGGCCACGCCTGCCAACCGACTGCTCCCCGTTCGCCCGCGCCACCTGTGGACCGCCTAGGCTGTGTGGTGTGGGGTGCACGACTGCGGGCTTGGGCTCCCCATGGTTCCTCACTGTGCGACGGGTCATGGCCCCACCAGCCTCGAGTGCAGTTATCAGGCGGGGGGGCAGGCCCAGGGGTTCCCCAGTAGGCATGGGGACCCACACAGTGACCCTTCCCACCAGGCCCCGGGCAGCTTCTGAACGAGGATGCGCCCTCGATGATTTAGGGACGCAGCTGAGGCCGCGGGAAGGGCCACATGTGGGTCCCTGGCAGGGCGGGGGGCGGGGCAGTGGACAGAGGCCCGCGAGGAAGCACCCCCGGGCGGGGGCCACAGTCTCTGGGCCGGGGCACGTCTTGGAGAGCCCTTGCTGTCCTGAGACCCGGCGCGGAGCCTCAGCCCACTGATGCCCAGAGCTGCCGCTGGCCGGCAGGGTGGCCGCGGGCGACTCACTGGCCCCTGCGCCTCTGTTCCCTTCTGTCTCGTGGGCCACGATGGCGCTACCCGGCGGGGACGGGGGTCGTGAGGCTCAGATGAGCCTTGGGGAGCCCGACAGAAGGTCAGGACTGGTCAGTGGGGGTGGCCACGGCTCCCCTCAGGGTGCCTCGCGGCTGCCGGCCCCAGCAGCAAGCCCGCCTCGTGCTCTGCACACGGGACAGCGAGCGGCCACCCGCGAGGCTGTGCTGGGGGCGGGCGGGGGGACTTTCCTCGACGCGGCGGAGTCACGCTTCAGCGCTGCTGCTGGCCGCTCCGGGTGCCGGCGCTGGCCTCGGGAGCTGGGCCCCGGCAATGCCCCTGACACCCCGTGTCTGGCTCTGCTCTAGGGCGACAAGGGTGCTCCGGGCCGGGCCGGCCTGTACGGCGAGAGCGGCCCCACGGGCGACTTCGGTGAGTGGGCAGCCTGGGGGCCGGGCCGCGGGGCTGCTGGCAGCTGAGATGTCGCAGGAGAAGCCGCGGCTGGCCGGGAGCCCCGCGCTGAGCCTTGCTTTTGCCCGAACCAGGTGACATTGGCGACACCATCGATCTCCCAGGAAGCCCAGGCCTGAAGGGGGAGCGGGGCATCTCTGGAGTGCCAGGTACCGCTCCCCAGCAGCGATGGCGCGTCCCGCGCGGCGCAGGGAGGCAGGGGGCAGGCGTCAGGTCCGGGAGGCGAGAGGGCCCTGGGGCTCTCTGTCAGGGCCCACCTACGGACACTCGGGGCACCCTCTCTGGCTCCCCCAGAAGGGAAGCGGCCAGATGGGCCCCCGTGAGTGGGAGCCGCAGAGGCCTGCTGCCCCCCCAGGGCACTGACAAGGGGAGGGCCTGTGCCCGGCTGAGCTGGAAAGGGCCAGAGGGCTGCGCGGCAGCCCCGGTTGTGTCGGGGAGCAGGACGTGGGGCCAGAACCCCAGGAGATGGCCCAGCAGGGGCTGCGGGGCAGGGCCCAGGGGGAACCGGGTGAAACGGGGGCCGAGGGGCAGCGCGGGGAGGTCCTCCCCCTGGGCGGGAAGCACACAGGTGGGGTGCAGCCCCTTCCCGTGCACCCCTTGGCCCGCATGCGCAACCCCGCCCCCGCGACGTGTTTTAGGTCTGAAGGGCTTCTCCGGAGAGAAGGGGACGCAGGGTGAGGTCGGCTTCCCAGGCATCACGGGCATGACGGGCGCCCAAGGCCCCCCCGGGCTCAAAGGCCAAACAGGTGACGTCCGCGCTTCGGCTCTCCTCACTCACACACACCCCAAGGGCGCGGGCAGGCTGGACAGCGGCCAGCTGGGCGCAGGGACCCCACTGCCGAGCTCCGGGGGCCAGGGCAGCCCTCGCTGCTCCCCCGTCAATGCCCTCACACCCCCGGACACCCTGGCTCTGCCGCGGCTCACGGAGCAGCTGGGAGACGCACCGGGGGGCGGGGGCCGGGGCCAGCGTGCGCAGGGGTCCGAGAGACGCGTCCAGGGCCCGCCACGCATGCCCGCGCGCTGCCGCGCACCCAGGTGGAGGGGACAGCAGAGGCCTGGCGTCCTGCTTCGCTCCGCTGGCAAGCCCGGGACCGCGGCCAGCCCTCGCCCTCCCGCCTCTCCCGCTGCGCTGGGCAGTCGCTCCAGACGAGAAGACGCGGCTCCTCTCGCCGGGCAAGGCCGCCTGCACGCCCGGGGCCGAGGGCAGGCCTCCAGGCCCCGGGTTCCCAGGCTGATCCGAGGCTGCATTTCCTCCCAGGCTTTCCAGGACAGACGGGGCTGCAGGGGCCGCAGGGGGACCCGGGACGGGTCGGGCTGCCGGGCCGCAAAGGAGATTATGGTTGGCCGGGGACCCCCGGCTCCCCAGGTAAGCCCCAGCGTGGTTGTGCAGAGCCGCCGCTGGGGGGATGCATGGGCACGCCGAGGGGCTGGAGGGACAGGACGAGGCGATGGGGTCACGCGTCCGGGCTGAAGCAGGGGTGCCCACCGCGCCGGGCCCCATTGGCCGGTTCCCCGTCCGCTGCACCCTAGAGCTGAGAAGTCAGGGCCCGTCCTGTGCCCTCCGAGCTCCTGCCTGACGTGCACGTGACCCCACACAGGTTCTCCGGGCTCCCGCGGCATCGGCGGACTCCACGGCCTGCCGGGCACCAGAGGCTTCCCGGGATCGCCAGGTACCGGCTCCGCCCCGTCACCTCCGGGGCTCGCGGGGGCGCCCCGCCAGGGGACTCCAGAGCAGGACAGCCTTGGCCACATGGCCTGGACCCTGTGGTTGCCTGGGTGTGGCCTCGGCGTCCATCCGCCCTGTCCCGGGAGGAAGGGACCAAATAGGCTTTAACGGAGAAAAAGCAACTGTTTTGCCTTCCTGGCCCCATGGTGGGGATGCTCTGTGCCCCTTAGCTGTCGGAAAGATCCTCTTTTCCCAGAGCCACTGAATTTCAGGCCCAGGGCGGGCCCTTGCCGTCAGAGGAGGCACGAGCTGGGGGCGGGGTACAGTGGGGTTCTGGGGTGGCCTCTTGCTGGCTTCAGAGCGTCACCTGGTCACCGTGAGCAGCAGGGACGAGCTCCACGGACCTCTTCTATCCAGGCACTGCCCCATGGGGCCCACCTGCCTCGTGACCCCTCTCCTCCCCAGCACCACAGTGGCGGGGGAGGCCCCATCTTGTGAGTTCCGGGGAGCTCGGTTCCAGCAGTGGAGGCCCAGGGTTTACGCCATTGAATCTAAACTGGCACCTGCACAGCATTTTGCTGCTTCTAGAAACCCTCGTGGCACAATTTTTTCCTGAACGAGATACCACGACTCTATTTCCCAAAGCCTACGGCTTCCTGAGACGTCACAGCAGAGCTGCCGCTTTATCCCCAAAGGGGCACCAGCGCGTCCCGCAGTGGCCCGGCCCCTGGCCGTGACCCGCCCCGCAGGGCGTGGGGCCTGCCTGGAGCTTCTGGTCTCACCCTCGTTCCTTTCATCTTAGGTCTTAGTGTCCCTGCTTGTCACTTGGTTTTCCTGTCGCTGACTGGCGAAGGACGTAGGGCAGGGAGGGGAGTCGCTTTATTACTGGACGTGTCTTATGTTGAAAGGGAGACTCTGCAGCCCTGTGTGTGAGCAGGGAAGGGCTTAAAGAGTTTTCACTCCCACAGATTAAGGGGCCTCGGCGCCCAGCCTTGGAGGAGCCCGGGTCCTCGTGCGGAGCACGAGGCTCAGCTGTGACCTCAGGGGTCAACTCTCCGGTCCGGGCGCGGGCTGCGTGGGGCGGCTGACTGCAGGCCGCCTCCCCCCGCTCTGGCCTCCCCCCGGACCACGCCGGCTCTTTGCTTAGGGAAACTGGTTTTTGCGGCTGACCGGCTGCTGTTTTCGCCCCGCCGTAGGTGCGGACCTCCACGGAGACCCGGGCTTCCCAGGCCCCACTGGGGACAGGGGCGAGCCAGGAGCGGCCAACACCCTTCCAGGCCCAGCCGGAGCCCCGGGATCCCAGGGGGAGCGAGGCGTGCCAGGTGAGGCCTGCCCCCGCGGTGTCATGTCACATAAGCAAGCTGAAAGGCTGGGGCCGGGGTCTGGGGTCCACCCTCGGGCGTCCCCACTAGGGCAAGGGGAGCGGACCTTCAGCAGTGACGTCACAACGACTGGCCATGAGCGCCCACCTCCGAGGCCGGGGACGGACCCTCTCCTCTTCCCGGAGTCGCCTCCACCCAGCCGGAGGCTCCGCGGGCAGCGGCGGCATCGCCACGGCTGGTGTCTGGGCTCTGCTCACGTTTCACGTCAGGCTGCGGGAGACGGGGAGGCTGAGGAAGCGAGTTGCCTGATGGAGAGTCCAGCAACGCTCAGCTGGCCCCGAGCGCGCCTTAACACGGGCCCCAGCTCTGTCCCCAAGTTCATCTGTCTCATGGGACTCCGGCCAAGCGGCCACCTGGCCGCCGCCCGCTGGCCCCGCACCGCGAGACGCTGGGTGGAGCCGTGGCGTGGCGTCAGAGCCCCCGGGCGGGGGTGGGGCGCAGAGGCACGCCCGGGGCGGGGGGCCCGGATGGCAGCTGGGCTCTGGGCAGGAAGCGCATGTCCCCCCACCCCCAACTCCACTGAGTGGGCTGCGCGGGGCCTCAGCTGGCCTCAAGCACGCCACCTCCCAGGCTCCCAGGATTGACATGGGGGTCACCGATGATCCTCAGCGAGCTGGTGCGTTGGTGGATGCAGGATCTGTGTGTGCTGGGCAGGCGCCACCCAGAGCTGGCCCCTAAAGCACCAAAGCAGGAAGGACTAGTGCCCGGGGAGGACCACAGCGTCCATGAGGCCGCGGCCTCTCCTGACACCAGAGTCTCCCTGCCAGTGCCAGCTGGCCAGACAGCCCATGTGTCCCGCAGGCCCGGGAGGGGGGGCAGCATCCCCGTAATCACCACGCAGCTGCCCACAGCCACGCACAGATTCCAGTGGGACCTTGGGACCCTCGAGCAGCCAGAGGGGCAGATTCCCTAACAGCTTCTTCTGTTTCCCTCCTCAGGGCAGCGAGGCCCTGTCGGGAGTCCAGGACTTCGGGGGTTTCCAGGCATCACCCCTCCTTCCAACATCTCGGGGTTACCTGGAGACGTAGGGATGCCCGGGATATTTGGCCCGGAAGGTAAGCAGGGCTCACGCACCTGTGCATGGCCTGGGGACCCGGCCGGCGAGGCCACTGTCGGCACAGAGACGTGACGCCGAGGGCAGCCACGCACAGGACAGAGGCTGTGGGGCTGCTTGTGGGGTTCAGGAGCAGGCAGAGGAGGCATCCCGGGAGGGCTTGGGGTGAGAATTGGGAGGTAGGGAATGGCTGCACTGCAGCGCGGGGCTTTGATGCCGCGCCGGACTCCCGAGCGTGGCGGAAGTGGTGACGTGCTGCGCATATTAAGTCTCCCAGGACGGTCCCTTCGGTGACAGCCGCGCCTGGGCTTTGGGCACCCCCGGGGGTCAGCACCGTGGCCAGGACCAGACTTTCTCCTGTTCAAACCCACATCTCTTGTGCCGGCAGGTTATCGGGGTCCCCCAGGGCCACCGGGGCCTCCTGCTTTTCCTGGAAGCAAAGGAGATGAGGGGAACCCAGGAGCTCCAGGGAACCCAGGGTCCAAAGGATGGGGCGGGGACCCTGGCCCCCAGGGCCGGCCCGGCGTGTTCGGCCTCCCAGGAGAAAAAGGTAATGGGGTGTGTACAGGGACCCGTCCCCGGGGGTCCCCACGGGCACATCCTCACTGTGCCATTTGCCTTGCAGGACCCAGAGGGGAACAAGGGTTCATGGGAAACACGGGCGCCAGCGGCAGCGTGGGCGACCGAGGCCCCAAGGGCCCCAAGGGAGACCGAGGGCGCCCCGGTGAGTGTCCCTGAGGACAGCAGCCCAGCAGGCAGCGCCCACAGGCCGGCAGGGGGCCTCAGCGGTGCTGACCCAGGGCGTGTCTGCAGAGCGAGATTGTTCCAGAAACTCTTAAGATTTGCTTCGATGGGCGGGAGCCTGGGGGGACAAGGCCGGAAACCGAGGCGGCGCTCACCCGCCCGCGCCCTTCTCTCCTCTCCAGGTGCTCCCGGCACTGTGGGAGCCCCCGGCATCGCAGGGGTCCCCCAGAGGATCGCAGCCCTGCCTGGCCCAGCAGGGCCCCAGGGACGGAGAGGCCCCCCGGGGGCGCAGGGAGAGATGGGGCCCCGCGGTCCCCCAGGAGATCCAGGTGGGCGTGCTCGCGGGTGCTGGGGGCTCCCGTCCTCGCCGCGACCAGGGCCAGCACCCGCCAGTCTCCCCCTCACCACGCCTGTTTGGGGTTCACAGGCTTCCGCGGGGATCCAGGAAAGGTGGGACCCCAGGGACGGGGCGGCGTGTCTGCTATTCCCGGATTTCGTGGGGACCCAGGGCCCATGGGAAACCAGGGCCCAGTTGGCCAGGAAGGTAAGTGGCACGGGAGGGGCAGAGGGTCTTCCGGACCGTCCGCCTGGGGGTGTGACGGGGGCAGCGCGTGCAGGAGGAGCTGACAGGCCGGGCACGAGGGGGCAGAGGCCGCCACCCCAGCTGCCCCACAACCTGCCTGGCTTCCTGGCCCCGGGAGAGGGAGCCCTTCACCCCCCAGGATGCGCGGGCCTAGAGACCACAGCCCGAGCTGGAGGGCCCGGCCTTGGCATGTCGCAGAGCGGGTGGGCAGAAGCCGTGGTCCTCACCAGGACACTGCTCCAGAGCTGTGTGACCCCAGCACTCACTCTGGGCCCACAGCACAGAGCAGGGCCAGAAGATCAAGGCGAGGCCGTGAGTGAGCAGGTGTCAGCAGCCACCATCCCCCCAGGACTGGCCTGGGGCCAACTGAGAGGCTGCGCATGCCCCATGGACCGGGCCTCTGGGCCAGGGGACACCAGGATGTCCTGGGAGGTCGATCTCAAACCCGGCAGGGCTGTCCCACTGACAGACTGGATGCTCAGGCCTCTGGGGCAGGACCCAGGCCTGGCTGGTCATCGGGGTGACCACCCACCGCAGAGAAGGCCCAGCAGAGGGGCAGCTGCTGGGCCCGGTGAGGGGCAGGGACAACTCTGCTCCCGGGCGTCTGGCTCCTGCTCGAGGGGACGTGCCTTCAGGGCGTCCGAGTCCCACACCTCCTGTCACAGCTGCCAGCCCCGCTCACTGAGCGTGGACATAGATCCAGCCCGCCTGGGAGGCTCCGGGTGGACAGTCACAGGACCCTGACTTGGGGGCAGAGTGCAGCCGTGGTGTGGCCGGGTGACCTCAGAAGTGCGGTGATGCTGAAAGGCCACTGTCCCCGCCTCAGGGGAGCCCGGCCGCCCCGGCAGCCCTGGCCTGCCTGGCATGCCCGGCCGCAGCGTCAGCATCGGCTACCTGCTGGTGAAGCACAGCCAGACGGACCAGGAGCCCATGTGCCCGGTGGGCATGAACAGGCTGTGGAGCGGCTACAGTCTGCTGTACTTCGAAGGCCAGGAGAAAGCCCACAACCAGGACTTGGGTAGGTGCTGCCTGCCACCGGGCGCCCGAGGCCGGGTTTCCCACCTCCCCGGGGGTCCAGAAATGACGACCATGGCCTTCGAAGCCCCTAGACCACAGCCCAGGCCCAGGCGGCCTGTCCCTGAGCCAGCAGAGACATCCAGGCTCCCATGAGGTCCAGTCCCTGCCGGCCCGGCTCTGCCCAGCAGCCAGGCTACCTCCCCCCTTCCAGACTCTTTGCCCCAAACTCTGTAAGCAGAGCCTCGAGGGGCTGGGAGCCAGGCGACCCCCAGAACAGAGACCAGGAGGGGCTTGTGTTGATTCAAGTAGATCCCGTGCCAGAGGGAGCCAACGAGACTTAAAAACCCCAGAAAATGCAGCAGGAGCTCATTCAAAGTGGGGCGCCAGGGCCCTCAGCCTGGGGCCTGGGGCAGCAGCTGCCTTGGGGGAAACAACTTGGGCCCAGTATCCGGCTGAGCCCGAGGATCGCACACCTTCCCGTCTAAATGTTCACTGGGAGGCCCCGTGGGGGGATGAGTCAGGGGCTGGGCTTGGAGACCTTGAACAGGCCTCACCCAAAGGCGTAGCCCACAGGACGCAGCCCGAGAGCTGGCTCGGTGCAGGCGGTGGGAGAGCCGGGCCGGGCCGGCAGACCCCGCTGTCCCTGGGAAGGACCCGGCTCTGTTCTCTCCATGCTGAGCCCGCAGGCCCCAGGGCAGGGCCAGGAGGTGGGGGCTGGTTGGGCTGGCGAAGCCACCGCCCCAGCGCCCTCCCTGCGTGCTCACGGGTCCCCCACTGCCCCCGCCCCCCCCCCCCCCACCGCACAGGGCTGGCCGGCTCCTGCCTGGCGCGCTTCAGCACCATGCCCTTCCTGTACTGCAACCCGGGCGACATCTGCTACTACGCCAGCCGCAACGACAAATCCTACTGGCTGTCCACCACCGCCCCGCTGCCCATGATGCCTGTGGCCGAGGAGGAGATCAGGCCCTACATCAGCCGCTGCTCCGTGTGCGAGGCCCCGGCCGTGGCCATCGCCGTGCACAGCCAGGACGTGTCCATCCCCCACTGCCCAGCTGGGTGGCGCAGCCTGTGGATCGGGTACTCCTTCCTCATGGTACGTGGCTGCGCCCGCGGAGCCAGGACCTCCAGCACCCCCGGTCACGCCCCAGCCGGGCAGCAGCCGCGCCTCTCTGGGCAGCTGCTGGGGTTGCGCGCTGGACCGGGGCGGCCCGGGCCAGGGAGCTGGGAAGCCACCTGCACTTCTGCTTGAGCCACATGCTCTTGGCCCCCCGAGCCTGGAAGGGGAGAAGCTGGGGTACACCCAGCTACCCGTAGCCTCCCATGCTCAGAGGCCGCCTCACTGGCGACGCCCGAGAGTGTCGGGCAGGGGCCGGCTCTGAAAGCACAGTTACGGAGGTGGCGCCTGCTCGCTCCCTCCGGCAGCACAGGGGGGCTGGGGGTCCACTTTCGCTGCTTATTTTTAACTTAATGTCAGAGACAGACCCACATGTTGATTTTATTTTTTCTTAAAAAAAAAGTCAGCATCCTGGTATCTCTTCTGCCCAGCGAGCACTTCACTTGGGGGGAATGGGAGACAATGTCCCCCAAAGTGCTGTCCCCCGCAAGCTCCGACGAGGCGGGCGCTCCCCGGTTCCTCCACGCGCCCGATAACCAGCCACACCCACGGCTTTGCCCACTGTCCTCGCTGCGTGTGGCCGGGCTTCCTCCCCCGGGTACCCCCTTACCAGCCACCCTGCCAAGCGCGAGCCCGGGGGCTGCAGGGGTGCAGGGGGTGCAGTTTGTTGCTCGCTGACAACAGAGTCAGGCGCGAGCGCACCCGCCAGCGCGCTCACGGCCCCATCCCCTCCGCAGCACACGGCCGCAGGCGACGAGGGAGGCGGCCAGTCGCTGGTGTCACCGGGCAGCTGCCTGGAGGACTTCCGGGCCACGCCCTTCATCGAGTGCAACGGCGGCCGCGGGACCTGCCACTACTACGCCAACAAGTACAGCTTCTGGCTGACCACCATCCCCGAGCCGAGCTTCCAGGGCTCGCCCGCCGCCGACACGCTCAAGGCCGGGCTCATCCGCACCCACATCAGCCGCTGCCAGGTGTGCATGAAGAACCTGTGAGGGGCCCCGCCCCTGGTGCTAGCTCAGAACTCATTACCTCAGGCGCCGGCCCGAAACCGCCTTGCTGCCCCCGATGGTGGACGGCGGCCACGGGACTCGGCGCAGCTGTCCCCATAGCCACTCGTCACCACAGCCCCGGCCACGCTGACCCCCCAGAGCTACTAACCCGCCCAGCACCCCTCAGGCCGCCCATGCTGCAGGCGCCGGTGCCCTAGCCCGACAGCACCCGCATCATCACGGCTGCCAGACATGCCATGCGCTCGGTGGGCAGGACAGCGGGGGAGCTGTGCCAGCGGGTCCCCTCCCCACGGAGGGTCTCGATCCGGGCCTGGCACTGCTGTCTCCACGCCCAGTCCCTGCGTGTCCTCCTGGCCCCCGAAAGGACCACTCTGTGCCTTCCCTGACCCGTCCCGCATCCGCCCGGGCTGGGGCTGGCAAAGCCGGGGAGGCGGAGGCCCAGGCGGCACGGGGCAGTGGGAATGGGCCCCCCCCCCAGTGCTGGGTCCCGGGCCGCCGTTCCCTGTGGGGAGCTGTGCCCGCCTGTCGGGTGTCCCCACCACCAATAAAAGTTTGTTTCTAACATTTTTAACCCAGCCTGTCGACTGCGTCATTCCTCCAGTCTGGGGCGCGGTTGAGCTCGGCCCCGCAGCCAGGGTCTCTGCCGGCGCCCACAGGGCCGCGCAGGCTGCTGCCCTCCACGTTGGGAGCTGCGCCCAGGGGCCGGGGCGCCCCTGCCAGGGTCTTCCCAGAACCGCTCCAGCTGCTCCCACGTAACTTCCCAAATCGCTGGTCAGTGTTTCCAGGCCAGAGCTGCCCGGACCTCCTGGCTCTGGCCTCCTGGAGCCTGGCTGACCCTGGGAACCCAGCTCCAGGAGTTTCTTTCCAAGCTCGTGTTAAACCAGCGTTCTGGGGTTTCCACGAATGACATAAGCATCCCCCGTGACCGTGCAGACCACAGCATGGCTCCCCTGAAGCGAGCCAGCCCAGGGCTCTGGCAGAGGCTAGTGGGACATGACTCCAGGGTACAGGGGCGGGGCCGGCAAGGCAGCCAGGAGGCCCCGAACTGGGCCCCAAGAAGCAACACAGAAGCCACAGGGGGTCCGCATGGAGGCTCCTGCCCGGTGTCAGGGTGCCCAGGGGGTCCCTCTTCCTTCCAGGGGGTCATGCTGTAGGGCCCTGCGGCCTCTCAGGTGGGGAGTCAGAGCCGGGACACAGCCGGTTCCCCAGCAACGGCTGCAGCAGGCCCGGCCGTCCAGGGCTATAAATCACAGTCTCCACACGTTGGCTCCCAAGTCGTGTTTAATTCTCTGACTCACGGCGCTGCAGCCCACGTAAGCACAGAATTCTGATTTTGTATACATTGAACACCCGCCCTCAATGGCACCTCAGCATCAAGGACTGGACTGGGGCCAAAGGTAAATCACAGTGAAGAGAAACACTTTGGGGCACAGGCACCCCTGTGCAGGGGCAGGCACACCTGTCAGCCCGCAGGGGTCGGGTAACATCGACTGGGGGGCATGTGCCGGGACTGCTTCTGCGGGGGTTTCCTGATGATTCGCAGCCACCGCTTCCCTGCACACCATGGCTAGCCCACACCCAGCGTCCTCGCCCGGGGTCTCCTGCAGTGGGAGGAGCCCCCACCCCCCAGGCCTTCCTGCCGCAGCGCCCGGGCCGGCCAGGGGCGCAGGTCAGGCACAGCACCCCGACTTGGTCCGTCCGGGGGGCTTGTGATTGCTGAGCTCCACGGTCTGCGGCGGCTGCTCTGCCCGGTGCTGCAGGATCACCGGCTCCACCAGGTCGAACAAGGTCTCAAACAGGAGGTCCACGTTGTGGCCGGTCTTGGCGCTGGTCTCAAAGCACATCTGCTCGGCGGCCGGCACATCCTTCTCGTCCAGCATCCTGTACTTGAGGATCTTTCTGTACAACGCCAGCGCGTCCTCCGGCTGCACCTGCCTGGCCACCCTGGGCGAGGCGCCACCGCCACAGGCCGACCCAGGGCCCTGCCCATCCCTCTCCTGGCCCGCCGGCCCCTCCTCACTGAGGTCCACCTTGTTGCCCACGATGGCAAAGAGGCAGTCGGTGCTGGCCGTGTCGGTCAGGCCCAGGAACCTGTCCTCCAGTTCCCGCAGGCTCTGCAGGTGGTTCACGTCATAGGTGAGGATGATGGCGGCCGCCCCCCGGCAGTACATGGAGCCCAGGCCATGGAACTGCTCCCGCCCTGCAGGGGGAGGAGAGACAGGTGGTTGGCCCCTCCAGGCACAGACCCCAGGCACACACCCCCAGGCACAGCCCCCCCAGGCACAGCCCCCCCAGGCACAGCCCCCCAGGCATAGACTTCCCACAACCCCCCAGGCACAGCCTCCCCAGCACAGCCCCCGCCCAGGCCCCCAGGTACAGCGGAGCACCCTCTGTCCAGTCCAGCAGCGCCCCCACACTGGCCCCCAAGCTAGGCCATCTCAGCCTGACCTGCTGGAATTCCTGACTCTGCCTGCACTTGTTCCTTCGGGCTACAGACACCCCCTCCCCCGCTCCCCACCCCTCCCCCGCCCCTTGACAACGTGGGAACAGAGCCCGGAGGCCCATGACCTTGAGTGGGAAAGAATGTCACCCTTGTCTTCACATTCCTGCCGCTGGAATCCAGCCCTGCCCACGGAACAGACTGACCACAGCCGCGGAGGTGGTCAGCACAGCGGTGCCCACGTCCTTCAGGTCACGTTCCCGCTGTCACGGTGTCCCCAGGCACGTGCCGACACACGCGTCAGCCACACGTTTCAGGATTTCCTGGCAACTGTGACACACCTGGTTCCCGGTAAGCCTCACACGCGGCTACGTGTGTACACACGACATTCAGGATGAGTCAGCACAGAGACACGCAGAGCCCGCGGCCACGGGCCCTGTGCAACGACAAAGGCTGGACTCCTACACGCCGACGAAGCGGTGTCCACTGCCAGGGAGCCAGCTTTAACCAAACGGTCAAGAAACACAACGGGCCCCACGCACATCCCAGTGGCCCTCAGCGGTGGCACTGCCTCGTGGACGGGCTGCCACCCGCGCAGGCGCCCGCAGCCCCACCTGGCGAGAGCGGGCCCAAGCCAGGGTTCTCGGGGCTGGATGCTGCTGGACACTGCCGGACGTTGGTGCCACGACCCGTGGCCCGCTGGAGGGGTGGGCCGGGCTGGGCCCCGGGAGGCACCCCATCGGGGGCATCACGGCCAGTCAGGGGGGAGGTCCTGGTTTCAAGACATTCAAAAGTAAAATCTCCCAGGAAGCACAAACACAGTGGCTGGAAGAAAGAGGAACTTTGCAAAGCCCACCGGGGGGCCGGGAAAACACGGATGTGACAACATGAACGAGGAGAACCTGGCGAGCGGAACCCAAGTCAGACAGAAAATCTCGGGGTACAGAAACAGGACCCCTGCCCGCAGCCCCGCGGCTCGGCCGACGAACTTCCCTTCCAGGATTTGTTTTAAATACACTAAAATCCCTTCCCTGCTTTCACGTTCCACCCCCAGCTCTACAAGCGCTGAAATCATTTCCTCCACGGCCGGTGGGTTTTGACGACGGCTGACAGTCACAGGCAGGGCCTAGAACATTCCATGTGCAAGCGTGTGTTTCTACACTGAAGGACGCGCAGCTGGAGCACAACCTCAGACAGTTCACGAAGAACAGGAGCTTGGGGCTCTTCCCCACAGGAGGAAAGGAGCCCGAGCTTCCAGGCCCGGCGCAGCCCCTCGGGCTGGGGAAACTGAGGGCTTCACCCGAGATCGGCTGGTGCCTCGAGTGAGGGCCCTGGCCGGCAGGTGCAGAGCTGCGTCTCCCCACGGCTCGGCGGGGCTGCTGGTGCAGCTTTGGCAGGGGGTTGGGGGGGCCTTCCCCCAGGCTCCCCTTCCCTGGCCTGTCCACAGGGGCCCTGGTCCCCTCCACGGACACAGTCACCGGCCTGGCCCCGCATGCCCCTGGGCAGCGCTCTCACCCCAGCCCGCGGGAGGCCGCCCCCTCCGTCCACGGCAGAGGAGGAAGTGACCACGAAGGGGCTTTTTGTCCAACTGCAACCTGCCGGCCTCAGCCGCCGGCTTCGCTCCGCGTTCCCAGCTCCTGGGGCTTCCCAGCCTTCCAAGGCCGAGGTGGGGCCGGGCCAGCCCTCGCGGGTCCCCGCAGCCAAGCAGGAAGCAGGGGACACCCGCCTTCCCAGAGGGCGAGGCCCAGGGAGGGCTGCAGCAGTAACTAACTGGGGCTCTTTCACTTGGAGTTGAAGTTTCCTCCTCTTTCTCTTTCATTTATTCCTGTTTCTGTCCTAAAAAGAGGAAATTCCTTCAGTCCCTGCCCCTTGCGGTGGCGGCGCGGCGCCCTTAGCAGGAAGTGGGGTCCAGGCAGGTGACCGAGCGACGAGGGGGCGTCTGGAAGAGGGACCAGACACGGAGGGCAGGCGGCGCGAGGGAGACGGGCTGGAGCGGGCGGCCTGGGCCGTCTGTGAGTCCTCCTAGGCCCCGGGCCGCGGGACCCGGTCACAAAGCCCAGGATGCTCCCCCAAGGGGGCTGCAGGCCCGGGGCCCGAGCCACGCGCCAGTGAAGGGTCAGGCTGAATCCACTCCTGCCCCTGGCACAGGAGGGCGGACAAGGGGCTGCGGTGCCCGCACGAGGGCTGACAAGGCCACCCACACCAGCGGCCTCGGCCACGGGCCCTCAAGGGAAGGTCACACGCCCACTCCTGAGCCAGCGTCAGCAAATCTGCTGGATTCCCAGAAACAGGCCCCCCCGCGCCGCGAGGCCTCGGGCAGCGGCCGGCACCGCCCCCTTCCCAGCTGGACCCGGCGCTGTGCCAGAGCGACCTTCCCTCTGACCTGATTCCCACAGGGAGACGTGACATCCCAGCCACATCGCTGTCGCCGGAGAAATGCCAGGAACCAGGGGTGCCAGCTCTGGAGGGGACAGACAGCAGTGGACTGTCCAGCGAGGGGGACTGTCTGCAGGTGGAGGGACACTGCGCGGACCTCTGTGGGGCAGGCAGGCAGGGGCAACACACTTCAGGGCCACGCCCCCCAGCAGCCCCCCTGCACTGGGGTCCAAGCTCACCCTCCAGCCAGCAGGCCCAGCCCCACAGCTGGCACCTGCCAGGGCTCGTCGTCCAGGCACTGCCCACACCCCTGACATCAGCCATGCAAGGCCCTCCCCGCTGGGGCGGGGGTCTCACTCACTGCTGCCCACCTGGCGGGGAGCCCGGGCCCCGCAGCAGGACCCGAGCAGGGGTCAGAGTCCGGAGTCCTTTCCAAGCACCAGCTACCCTGGGGGAGGGGCCGATGACTTGGAGAAACAGGCCCGCGGGGGCTCGAGGCCTGGAAGAAGCCAACAATGGACTTTCTATGGTTTCTCTCTGCCTCTACCGTCAGTGTCAGTGCCGCTGGGAAGCCCAGAACAGCCAGAGGCACACAACCCCAGGGGCAGTGCAGGGCACCGCTGCACCTGACTCAGCCTCACCCTGGCCTCACCTTGACACTCGGGTCAAGGCCCTGGGGCCAGCTCTGCCCCTGCTCCGGGGAGACAAGACCCCAGATAACCAGCGTGTGGCAAAGGGTTTTCAACGACTTTTAATGAAGTACATTCACAAAGGAGATGACAGGTGAATGCTTTAAACAGCATTTGCTTGCGTTTACACCTGCTTTCATTTTGTTCTTAATAATCCGTGGCCACTAAAAGGCAATCAGGACCTTCAGCCGCCTACTCAGGCGGCACAGGCTCGGCCCTGGCCCAGCCCAGCACCCTGGCTTAGAAGTGAAAGTAGCTGCTCAGACCCGCTCAGAGCCAGGCCCAGGCCTGCCCCAGGCCGTCCTTCTGCAAATAAAGGAACTGCGCACAACAGACTCCCAGCAGGAAGCCGCGACCAGGGGCAGGAAGAGTCGGGGCAGGGAAGGCTTGTCCACGCTGAAATGCACACCCCTGACTTCAGCGCGCCGCACCCGTGTCCTTCCGTTGCTTCTCCCTGACAATCCCAGAGACAGGCCAGATCATCAACTGCACATCAATTAATCCCGTTCCTGGGCCTGGCTGATGGGGTGTGCTCAAATAATCACCCGGGGGCTATAACAACAGCCAGAACGAAATCTCAAATTACTTCCCTCTTCACACAAGAGTTTACTAAAAATAACTCAATATCAAGACCAAAAAAAACAAGGAATGCGCGTTAACACCCTAATATTGAGGAAAAGCGGCACCAAAGACGAAGCCCACCCAGGAGGCGAGCCCGCTGCCCCCGCCCTCAGCAGACATCCGGGGCCGATTCATTCTTACACCAAGAGTATGGAAGAAAAATTCAACTATTTGGTACATTTTCTAAATGTATTAAGCAGGAAGCTGTAACTACTGCAGATTTTTTAAATCACATTTAACTTGTTTCAAAGTCAAGATCGAAGTGCAAACGCCACGCTGAGAAAACGTCTAACTCTCCGGCCGCTTTCTCAGAACAGCCCGCGGGGGCGAGCCTCTGCCGCTCAGCCGGTGTTCCCAGGAGCTACCCCAGGAGCTGCTTTTTGTCGTGCGAGGGCAGCCTCCGAAAAACACCAGGCCGGGAGCAGCCGCCTTGCTGTTCATTCCACCCCAAGGGAAACAGAAAACCCTCCTGAAAAATCCTAAGGAAACAAAGGGCTTCATCGATGTTTACACTGTCTGGGCACCTCTTGCTTAACAGACCGAATTTGATCTAATAAATTCCCTGAAAAATACATTATCCATTAACAGGTCTGATAAAAATCAGGAAAGCCTTCGGAGGTGTGGGAGACAAAACTGGGACTTTATCAGCTCACCCGTGGGAAGCCTTTTAAGCCAATCAGTTAAAACTAAGTCTAGGGGGTCTCCCCGGGGGCGCAGCGGTTGAGCGCTGGGTGGCGAAGCTGCCCGCAGCCACTGCAGCGCCGGTTCGATCCCCGGCTGCTCCCCGGCCACCGGAGAGAGGGTCCCCCATGGCGCGCAGACCTCTCCTGCCGCCCGCTGCTCCCCTCAGCAGTGTCCTTTGGTCCTTCTGCCTGCTCTGCGCCCCGCTCTGGCTCTGGGGGATCCTCTCCCCCTCCCGCGCTTCTGACTGTGCCCAGTGCATGTATAAATAAATAAATAAATCTTTAAAAAAAAAAAAAACTAAGTCTATCAGGTTTAAGTTTAACAATATCACGCCATACATAAAAATAAAACTAAAAAACTGTTACCTAGACTAGTCAAGTTCACAAAAAC